TTTTTATAAAAATAATTACAAGTAAACTATTTATACAGGGTGTTAGGTAAATCGGCTTATAAGCCGACACCCCATGTTAACATTGTATGTAAATGGTATGGTTGGTGTAGTCAGTGATATCATATTTTTTTAATTTTCATACAAAATAAAATTACAGTAGAACGCCGATTATCCGAATTAATTGGGACCGGGGTCGATTCGGATAATCGAAAATTCGGATAATCGGACATAAGACTGGTAATAGAGAAAAACGTACTGACACACATAGAATAAACTTTAATAAGTTTAACAAACAGATATATTTCTACTGAGCGTTATTGTAGAACTGCTACAATAACGCTCAGTTGAAATATATCTGAGTTCCAACAAAACAAATCAAAAGTTACATGGTTTTAATTTTTTATATTACGCTTAGGACCGATTCGGATAATTGGCGATTCGGTTAATCGGCGTTCGGATAATCGGCGTTCTACTGTATTAAAATCAGATTTGTATGAAAATTAAAATTATTAAAATGCTAATATCAATTTTCTGACTTCACCATACCATTTATATGCACACGTTAACATGGGCCAGTGTCTGCTTATAAACCCATTTACCTAACACACTGTATAATAAATCAAGCATTTTATACGCCTCATTCGAGGCGCATACATTTTACGGTCGCAAATTTATAATATTTGTCACTAAATCTTAACACAAATATATTTTTTTAGTTAAATCTACTAATGACAAGACAACATGCATTTTTATTCTATTTCATTCACAAAGTATTTTGTTTGTCAAAATAAAATAAAAAATTACAATCACAAAATACATTCACAAAACTAGATAGAAATTCTTAGTAGGCAGATGTAGTGAAAATAGGGTCTGCAGGTGGGCAGCCCTATCGCATGTTGTCATAGGGTGACGTACCGCGCGGCTGTTGACATTTATTTAAAAAATATGGCCGAGTTGGAATACTGTATAGATAGTATTACCGTGTACACGGACCGCTCTTGCAGTCAAGAGTCAACAGCTTGAAGCTGCCAGTGATAACTGCTCGAGCAGTTGGTATTAACTGCTCAACAAATCACAAGCGCGCGCGCCGTGGAATGAAGAAAGTGGGCGGAGGTAACTGCGCGAGAGCTGTCGATAGCTCGAGCAGTCAGTGTATGGCTGGCGACTGCTTGACCGCACGATGAAAATTCACCGGTGCTGTCGACCGCCCGAATCAGTTGCAACTGCTCGAGCGATTCGTGTAGTGCGTCCATAGAACTCTGCAGTTCTCTCTGCAGTGTGCAGTCGCAGCTTGAAGCTGTCGACCCTGACTGATTCAAGCGGTCCGTGTATTGCCGGCCTAAGAAAATGCTGTAGAGATCGATGACTTGATAAGAGGATGGTCTGAGCTACTTAGATATGGAAATATATGGAGAATCCTGTACAACAGAAAAAAATGTGTGACCATCGTTTAGATTTACGTAAATTCCCATGGCAGAAATGTAAAGATTGTATTAAGCCTGCGCATGACTAAATCTGTCTTAGAAAACCGTAATGTGCTTAATATACTCTTCTAAAGATTATTTATCTGTAGCTAAAATAACAGCAAGTTAAAATTTCGGGAAAATGCAGTTTATCTATACTAATATTATAAATGCGAAAGTAACTCTGTATGTCTGTCTTGTTTTTTTCTGTCGTCGTTTCAGCCGAAAGACGTCCACTGCTGGACAAAGGCCTCCCCCAAGGATTTCCACAAAGACCGGTCCTTTTTTTTTCTGTATTGTGTCAATAAACCATTTCTTTTCTATTCTATTTTTGCTTTCACGCCTAAACCACTGAACCGATTTTGATGAAATTTGGCATAGAGATAGTATGAGTCTCGGGAAAGGATATAGGATAGTTTTTATCTCGGTTTTTGAAACAGGGACGCGCGCGATAGTTTTTCTGTGACAGACAAAATTCCACGCGGGCGAAAAGCTAGTTTCAATATAAACTATGGGTAAATTTGTTATTTTGGCCCCAGGACTTTACAAATCGACCCCATCGGGTGTGGCTAAGTAATAACCACGTCTCACTGTTTGCAATTTCCATAATGAATTGTTATTTTCCAACACAGAAATAGCAAGCGTTTTTCATTATCACGTAAGCAGGTACTGTATTTCTAATTTACAGTAGTGTACGGGTAAATATGCAATTAAATACCTGTTAGGGTCAGCTGGCTACATTTTTCGTCCTAATTTTATGTTAAACAAGTATGTTAGCTTTAATAAATAAATCGATATCTGTTGCTGAGTGATATGAATAAATATTTGTGCCAAGAAAGTAAGTAGGTATACCTATATCAATTTAATTACTTAATGATATAAATAAAACTCTACTTCGAATTGAGTTCAACATCTCTATCTAACCACGGAAGTGTAATGGAATTATTTATTCAAATCATAGTCGTTGATATTTATATCCAGACAATCATAGTTGTATCGTTGAAATTTGACACAAAAAATTGTATATCAGACTTTGGCAAATTGTTCTCTAAATAAAAGAAGTTAGTACAATATAAAACAATGAGTTCGGTGACCTATTAATTTATTTAATTTGTGGATGCTTTTCAACACCACACCACCAAGGTCGGCAAACTCTAAGTCCTACTGAAATATCCTGTCCAGCAAGCGGCGTGGCCACGAGCAGCGAACGGCCGGCCTTGCCGCTCGGCTGCACTGAAGTTCATAGACTCTTAGGCCCGCCATACAGGGTGGAATATATTTGTTGCATCGATCGTTATTGTTAAAAATAAGGATGAAATGTCTCTAAGAAACTTGATAAATCAAATGTAAGGAAAACAATGAATTCTTTGAATCAAATTTTCTATCTACAGTATTAAGAGTACTTTTCCTCCAGGTGGCATTAGAAAATTCTAGCCTGAAACAGCTAGTATTGACATCTTCAAGCTGCTACTGCAGTTTTTTAGTTACATCCTTTGCCACACTTTACGGAAACACCTTCGTGGATCATCCGCCAAGAAGTTATGCTTATAAATACACTATGCGGATGATCAGTCGCTCGATTATAAGAAGAAACTGCTTTCGCGGATCTTCCGCAGATTTCCGTCAAGTGTGCCAAGGGCCTTTTACCGGTCTGTGCTCTGCACGATATCACTCGGTTACACATTGATAGCTTGTGCTGCTAATCGTTTCTTAAAAGGTCTGTAATGTCTGTAATGCTCTTTGATACTCCTGCACTCTAGGTTTTCTGAAGTCACTTCCTTGACAATCAAAAAGTAGGTATTTTGGAGCACGAACCATTTAAAAATGCCTAAATGATTTTAGAATGACAATTAACGCATCATGACTCTTGCAATTGCAATGTTATTTCTCATATAGGTAGATATTATACTCGTACATTGAAAGTCACATCCACATCACAAATAACGACCGAGACGCATTGATGATGACTAAAGTCTCTTGGCGATTTTCCAGTTTATCTGTAAGGAACTACGCAAACACTACACCTTCGATTTACGTATCATTTACCAACTGAAACCCATTTTAAGCTTTATCTTTTTGTAATAAATAAACAAGTCCCTTGTAAATATGTACGGACAGTCACCAATGTATACTCTTAGAAGCCATTTAAACGGCCGCAAGACAAAGTACCGTCACGCCATCTCTGTCCAACCGTCGAAGACAGGGATTGATGGATCGGTACCCTACATTCCAGCGCACTTTCCTCCCAATAATCCAATAAAAACACGCTGTCGTGATCCACACAGCACGGGCCCGTCATATCCTCTCAGTTTACTCTGACAAGTCGTAAAAGAGTGCGTTTTAACCGTTTATCTATCAGACCGCGCATCCTGATTAACAAATTCCGCTGCTGTCAAAAAAACAATTGATGATCTGGCTAGTTGCTATACAAGTTTCCGTGTCGTGCTGTAATTGCATTAGTTGCAAAAACAATTGATGAACGCTACACCGCTTCTTGTTACAATTTCTACCAACCTACACTTCGCTCAAACATGACAGCGGATATCGATAATAAATGTATATTCATTTTTCTACTATCAGCATTTCTAGTTCTGTAACTTCGATAGAATCGTCAGTGATTTGCCAGTTAATTGGGCACTAAATGAATTGGTTGCGATGTGAGAAAATTAATCGTGTGCCACGAATTATCAGTGCGTTTCCCAGAAGCACGATAAAACAATTACGCCTTGGAATACCTGTGTGTGATGCATGAATGCGATGCGTTGCAATTATTCATGTGAGTGATCCATTGGCATCCGATCTGAGAAATGTAACATTAGTGGTGGGCGTGGTGACAAAGTCCTTATTTTAGTTCTAACTGGCATCTTTTTGAACACTGTGGCTTTTTACCATCTTAGGCGTCCGACAACTTACCCCTAGGTATTAGTGGACGAAATCAAATGTCTTGTAAAAACATTATTACCAGCTGATCAGGCAATATCGCCAAAGAACTTGTTATCAAGCCATTATTTTTTGTTGTCGAACTCAGATTAGTTCATTTCATTTAATCAGAAACAAAATCATAACCCTCCTTTTGCTTTGCCGTAGTCGGGTAAAAAATAGGAGAAGCTCAAAACTGTCACAAAAAAACAACCTTTTTCCCGCGCGGTGGAAATGCTGAGATGATCTTGAAAAAAATTATAAGAAAATGCAGACAACTGGGACTGGTCATTGACTATTCCGACACCTTTGTAGCCAGGATCTCCTTAACTAATTAAAAACTCAAACATCAATGCTGAGATGATCTTGTAAAAAAAAATATAAGAAAATGCAGAGAACTGGGACTGGCTATTGACTATTCCGACCTCTACACCTTTGTAGCCAGGGCCCAGGATCTCCTTAACTAATTAAAAACTCAAACATCAAACTACGTATTTTTGTTTTTCCACAGCCTCTCTCTCTCTTTAGCCAGGGTCTTCATGACCATTAAAAACTCAACTAACAAACCTAACAACTATTAGTGACTGGCCAGTAACATTTCTTTTTCTTTGTCCACAGAGGGTGGCGGGTATCGAGAGAGCGCGCGCGGCGCGGGGCGAGGGCGCGCGCGGCAGGTGACCGGCGGTCTGCGCGGCCGATGTGGGCAGCGGGTGGGTGCTGCTCCCGACAGGCAGGTAAGGAACCAACATCATTCAAAACCAAATTCATCCTTTATTAAAGCCCGGTCGCCGGGCACGTAGAATTTCGTCCAATGACCCCAAGCTACCCATCCTTCGCGCTCGCAGTGAGTGTTCACTGCGGGCCGCCCGTCGAACAGTCGCGACAGCAATATAATTACACGCGAGCGATAAGGATGGGTAGCTTGGGGTCATTGGACGAAATTCTACGTGCTCGGCGACTGGACTATGGTAACTTAAGCTATGCAGACAAGAATAGACCACTCCTTCTCTTCCCGTAATGGTGACTAAGAGGCATTTTTGAGAACACCGTTTAAAACCAACTTGTTTATTAATAATAAGCTGTGCCGTGTACCTAGTTCGGGCATACTTATTATTATTATTCTGTGGTTCGGGCAATAGACACACTTACCGTGGAAGGCACAAATCAACGCGTATTCTTCATATATTAATGCTATTTTTGACCTACGAATACATGTCCAAAATATAGGACACCTTCCACCACTAGCAAACATTGGCTGGTGCTGTGAATATGCATTCCAAGAGAACTGTAGACTGTCTGTCAGCTGTCTTAAATTGGTTTCATTTTTTAATTATTACTCAACATTGTTATTACTAGTGTTATTACATACATTGCCTGATGCTTATGAAAATTTAAGTTAGCTGGAACTGCCTCTGAAAAAAGAGGGCTTTAATTAATACATTTCAATAACTAGGTTGTAGGTAATTAGAGAATTTATTGTGAATTGGGTGTTCTCAGCTCGTACACTGTACTTTATTTGTGCCATTTTTGTGGTTTCCATAACAAAGGAAGTTACGAAACGAACTCCTAAGAAAGAAGTGCAAAATAAATTTTGTATTTTCAATACGTTTTCTCGTGTGGAAAACATAAATTCTAAATTTCTTCATGCACACATAGGCACACTTTGTAAACGATTTCAACACGTTGCATAATATTTACATTACACTGTCATTGTCTTCATGCCATGTAGTAAATGTTATTTAAAATTTTGTAGCTACTTAAACCTCTTGAGAAGCCCTGGGTTCGATCCCCAGTGTTATTTTTTTGTTTCTGTTATTGATAATACATTGTTATTGTTACAGATGCGATAGGTAGGTTCGATTGAGCCAGATTTAAGCCAACCATTGTTGTAAAATCGCTTGTGCGCATGAGTGCCGTTAGTGTGACGTCCCACGTTCGCTATTACTCGACTGCGATAGGGATTTAATTAAAAATAAACTGTAATAGCACAGCTTGAAGTTCGGTTTTTAATTTTTTTGCGATTCTCATTGTTCAAAATGTACCTGTAATCTGTGAATCTTGTTTCGTGTTGTCGTTTGATCAAATTCATTGCACAAAAGCACATAATCCCTAGATAGATACTAATAAGTATGGCATCTAATATGCCAGGCGACTAAATCAAAGGCAGAAGCTTTTACATAAGTACCCAACTTTTCTAAAAGTCCTGTGAAAACTGAAATGACCGGTGTTTGAAAGTGATAAAGTTCTACAATAAGTTATAAGTTGCTACTTTTAGCCCTACACCAAATAAAGCTCCTTGGCCTATTAATAACAGGGCAATGTAACCGACACGTGGCATTGTTAACTAATAACAATTTTGTTGAATAGCACCTCCTTAATACCTAATAATTTTGTCGGTTGCTCGGCCATTATAATTTAAGCCGGTTACATTAAATAGGGCCAGATATGCACGTTACCTTGGTCAAAACTTGAACGGAAGGGTGTGTTGTATGGTAGTTAGCTAGCCGAGTTTCATCATGACTGTTACAATTTATAAATACGGCCTTGAAGCCATTTGCCGCACTTATGTGAATCAATATTCTATTGACAATGTTATTTTAATACCGCGATCGTACATTACGGTTGCTGATGTTTGGCTGACAGCAGTCGAATAAATTACGGCCTTAACTATTAATCTTTCAAAGAACGCCAGATATTAACAAGTTTTAATTAAAGGACATTGGGAACTTTAATATGAGAAAATGCCCCACGGCGGACAAAGATGAAACGTATTTTATTTCAAAGCTTTATACTTGTAGGTATATTCACTTAAAGCGCTATGTTGTGAGATATGGGAATTCTGAGATATGGCGAGTCTAAGTTGAAAAAATATTTGTCTAAAATGATTTGATATTTTTACATGTTATGTTGTTTGGCATTGCAGAGTAACAAATAGAAGTAAATAAAATAATATAAATAAATAAAAAATATAAACAAAATAATATAAATAAATAAAATATTATAAATACTTAAATTAATATTAGACAACATCTCATATATTACTCCAACCCAAAATAAGTACCACAACACACCCAAACCAGAGACAATGTGAAAAGATCGTTTTCTATATTGTCCCGGCCGGGAATCGAACCCGGGATCTCAGGATTGGCCCGGCACACCTTGAAAACCGGTGTGTGCGCCTCTCCGCCACGGAGGTCGTCAAAAATGTTACCTAAATGTAAAATAAAATAAAATATTAAAACTTCATTTTCTCAATATTCCCATATAAGAGAGAAAAAAAAATGCACGGACATTCATTGGATATTAGTATGTATCATCTGTGATAGGTTTCGTTTGTGTCCGCTACTTTTCGAAAAGTGGGACAAAAAGTTTCCAATGTCATTTTAATTGCAAAAGACTAGAATCAAGGCCTAATGACGAGATTTGCATAATTTTCTCAAATGATTAGAAAATAACGAAAGAAATTAATATAATTGATCAACTACGTATTTATTAGTGCTAATGTGACTGGAAGGCAACTTTCTAACTGGTGACTGGAAATAAATAGGCTAGTTAAATGGTATCAAAATGATGCTTGACCGCTAGATTGCGCCCCACGATAAAATGTTATCATTGAATTATATCGATTCTGGACGACAAATATATGAGCTAATCGTCTAAAATCGATAAAATGCCCCGACAAGATTATATCGTGGCGCGCATCTCAGTCTAGCAGTTGTCTTCTGGAATAGTCGCAAGTCCCAATCGCAGTCCAATAGTGCACTTAGGGCGCTCCCAAACGTTAGCTTCTGGATACATGACAGCACCAGCACTATTAATTTCAGAATGGGTGGTATCATGTACCCTACATCGCTGACGTGGGTTGTGTTGTGCCACGGTGAGCGAGAGAGCAGAAGCTTCATGCAAGCATCTTGGAAAGCACGCACGCAAGCACAGCTGTCGGGCTAGAATGCGCGCCATGATAAAATCTTATTGATGATATAGCGACAAACGTATGGGCTTATCGTGTAAAATCGATAAAGTTTGTGGAGCGCATCCTAGACCTACAGCTGACAGAGGTCTTCAGTACCGAGTATATTATCTTCTCGATGTGTATGTGCGTTGTGAGATACTTGGATAAATCGCATTTATTGACACGTGACGTATATGATGCATCAAAGGTTGATCAGAACTGACTCAGAAACTGAAAGAATATTAGTGTGTTTATCTTTTTTATAATGTCTAGAGACAATTTTTTATGATTTATGAGGCAGAAACGATTAGCAACGAAACGGCTTGTCAAATTCAACAATAATTGTCAATATGATTTTTAAATGCTCAAGTTCTGATGCATCACTTCACAGCACGTGTTGACCACACGAGCTTTGACTTCTCCGCACCCTCGCTCACCCCGGTAATTTTACCATGAGTTGACATTAAACGTACTCGCTAGCGAGTTTAAGGACGTAGCACACTTATCAACCCGGAAAGGGCTTGTAACCGTATCAACTCGAGACGGTCAGTATTTTTTGTATGAAACTCCATACTGCAACACACACTTATCCGCACCATAAAGGTACAATTCCAAGACGGGCCGCAGACCGCAAACTGCAAAACTCTATGAAATCTGTAGCGCGGCATTGCAGCTGCGGCGCGCGCCGCGCTGCAGATTTCATAGTTTTGCAGTTTGCGGTTGCAGTTTGCGGTCTGCGGCCCGTTTTTCAATTGTACCTTTACGTAAACGCCTCGCTTCGCGATTGACACCGCGCGAAAGGCGATGACAGCTCGCAAAAGGCGATACGGTGTCGATGCCTTTCCGAGTCAATAAGTCTGCTATGTCCTTTAGGCTGGTTTTAGTATCGCGCTGACGCACGCTGACCGTCGGCGTTGATAGCCAAAATGTATGAAGTGTCGGCGCCGAGCGGTCAGCGTCACTCAAGAACGTTTCCTTCAATTACATACATTCGCACACTTGGTGCAATAACGTCAGAAATACGAAAAATCATTTATTGCACTTGTGACGTTATTGCACTAAGTGTGCGATATTGTTCTGTCAGCGCCGACGATCAGCGAGCGGTCAGCGTGATTGTAAAACCCGCCTTAATGTACGTCAAACTCATGGTAAGCACACGGTTGTGCTGTGACAGCTAGCAGGCACTCATGCGTGACGGAGTGACTAACCGTGGCGCGGTGGCAGGCGACGCGGGCGGCGGGCCGGCCGCGCGGGCGCCGGTCAAGACCTTCCAGGCATACCTGCCGCCGGCCCACCGCACCTACAGCTGCATCCACTGCCGCGCGCATCTGGCCAGCCATGACGAGCTTATATCTAAGGTGAGTGAGTATGCTTGGAGTTTCCCTGCGTAATCGAATCAGAAATGAGGAGAACCAAAGTGACCAACATAGCTCGCAGAATTGCTAAAATCAAGTGGCAGTGGGCGGGGCACATAGCTCGTAGAGACGATGACCGTTGGGGCAGAAAAGTTCTCGAGTGGCGACCACGGGCTGGAAGACGTAGCGTGGGCAGGCCTCCTACTAGGTGGTAAAAGTCGCGGGAAGAGCCTGGATGCGGACAGCGCAGGACCGTGCATTGTGGAAAACCTTGGAGGAGGCCTTTGTCCAGCAGTGGACGTCATTTGGCTGAAACGAACTAACGAACGAACGAGTTCTTCTCTTCGAGGAGATCTAATCCCACCTCTCATCAGGGCCCGATCTAGGGCGGGACAACCAGGGCATTTACGTACATTTTTTCATTTAGCCAGAGGACGTTCACTGCTCAACATAGGCCTCCCCCAATGCCTTCCATGTTGATCGATTGGTAGCGGCCTACGTCCAGCGCTTCCCTGCTACCTTTATGATGTCGTCGGTCCTTGTGGGTGGACGGCCTTGCATTTACCCAAGGCGACAAAATCTAGGGCGCCACGCCGGGCGGCTGCGCGTAGCCGCTAGGGGCGCTGCACAATATGTCATACATTTAAATGTCATTTTTTTACGCAGTCGCTAGCGAGCACACCTAACGTAAACTCATGGTAAGCACACAGTAGAGGTCAATATCTTTCACGACTATTCCCACCTCTCCCTCCCATCACTGCAACTCCTGTATAGCTAGAATCTTAAGCTTGGTAACACAAACTTGACCTTCACTGGTTGGGTTTTTATTGGCGGTCAAGTTGTAGATCCTGGCTACACAGGAGTTGCAGCGGTGGGAACGAGAGGTGGGAATAGTCCTGTAAGATATTGACCTCTACTGTGTGCTTACCATGAGTTTACGTTAGGTGTGCTCGCTAGCGACTGCGTAAAAAAATGACATTTAAATGTATGACATATTGTGCAGCGCCCCTAGCGGCTACTTTCAAGAAATAAAATCTTCATATATTTTTTTGACGTATTCGCTAGCGAGCTCACCTAGACGTAAACTCATGGTAAGGCACACTGAACTGTAGTTCCGGTACTCCGGTGCACCGGATTTGGGGTTCCCGAATACCAATACCAAAACACCCCAAATCTATAAACTAAAATTACAACTTTCAAATCAACTTTTAATCGAATCCAATAAGTTCATACATATTGTATTTATGGCAAAGTCGTCTCTAGGTTTAACCCATTTAAAACGTTAACCAAGTTTATGCAAATATGTTTTGGAAGAAAAGTGAATTGTATTTACATTATGTAAACCCAGATCTATCTAGTTGGCTCTGCTGCTTCAAAATCGCATCAAATTGTAGTGTTTTAAATTTCAAAGTGATTGCATAATTTTCTTTTTCCACTAGACAACCGTACCAATAAACCTGCTTTGCAAATATAAATTCAAATCAGCTTTTGCAATGTTTAAAAAGTAGACACGGTAGTAACATGAAATCATACTTATTTTTATTCTTCATAGGTGGTTTGGGGGTGACTAATGATCCTACTTCTAGACTATCTAATTAAGCTTGTAATTACCATAACCGCGTGTATTTTCACAATGGCTCAATAGAAGTGAGCTTAATTCCTCGGTAACTATTTACAATAAAATATGTAGAGCCTCCAAGGATTTCCACAAAGACCGGTCCTGCGCCGCTTGCATCCAGGTTCCTCCCGCGACCTTCACCAGATCGTCGGTCCACCTAGTGGGAGGCCTGCCCACGCTACGTCTTCCAGCTTTTCAGAGGCCTTTGTCCACCTTATCAATGCATTTAAATTAAATCCCGGTATTCTGAGGGTTATGTTTATTTTAATTTAAACGCTCCATAGAGATAAATGATTTTACAAGTGCGTATGTCCATGATGCAATTATTTTGTTTTGAAACACATAATATTCCATAGTTGTAATATATTTTTTGTTGTTTTCCAGTCGTTCCAAGGCAGCCAGGGGCGCGCATATCTCTTCAATTCAGTGTAAGTATATTTTTGTAGCTAGTTTAATACTTAATATTTTGTATTCAGTTTTAAGACAATAATAATAATTTGGCCTGAGCAATCCTCATCAATTTCCAGCAGATAAAGTGCAGGTCAAGAAGAATAGCATTGCTGATCAGTGCTTGTTTTTTGTTCTGTTTTTTTACACTCATGCTTCAACCACACCAACACGTGCAGATCGCCATTGCCGGCGCGATCATAGGGAAATGACAGGTCTCGTGAACTGTCATGGCCATGGGTCGCGCGACCTGTCATTAGCCTTTGATCGCGCCGGCGATGGCTATCTGCACACGTTGTTGTGGTTGAAGCTTTAGAGCTAAATTTTATAAATCAAGTTTACCATAGTAATAAGGTATAAAACCTGTGTAATTAAAATAAAATAAATAAATATCTGGATTTCATAAAATACTGTCCTATTCCGTAGCTAAGTACTATTAACCGGTTCACAGTAGTATTATTAAGGGGGCAGATTAGAGCAATTACGGGACCCTTCTAGTTAAGAACGCGTAAAACGTTTAGCCTGCCCCGAAAGCCAATCTTGGCTGACCTTTGCCTGCTACACCACTCGCCAAGGCCCTTTCAAGCCTTTTCATCAAATAACTTCAAAGAAAAACCAACCACTTTACTTAAGAGCGTAGGTACCTATTATGCTATGTACCTACTACCACGTAGGTGTAGTATCTACAACACCTGCCCAGTTGCGGTAGATTGGCTTGAATGATCGTAATAAATGAAGGGCCATCGTATTTTCAAGTCATTAACTAAATTCATTTACAAATAAAACAAAGCTTCGAAATTGAAGCTCCTCCATCCAATCCACCCACAGGCCAGTAGGACTAGGATGCGCGGCTCGATAAGCTTTTATCGCGCCATTTTATCCATTTTACGCGATAAGCCCATACATTTGTCGTTTAAAATGTTCTATAAGTTTTATCACCTAGCTCTGCTGGTGGCCTAGGCTGCGCGCCACAATAATATCTTATCGGCATTTTGTCGATTTTAGACAAAACATTTGGGTGGAACCGATGGAACCAAGGTTCTGGAGTGGAGGCCACGTACCGGAAAGCGCAGCGTGGGACGTCCACCCACAAGGTGGATAGACGACCTCATAAAGGTAGCGGGAAGGCGCTGGATGCAGGCCGCCACCAACCGACCATTGTGAAAATCATTCAGCACTGGACGTCCTGTGGCTGAAATGATGACGATGAGACGAAACATTTTGTCGTCTAAAATCGATAAAATACCTTGATAAGATAAGACGCATTCGATCGTTTATTGGTGAACCCATGTAATAAATTACTCCTCTACTAGGAGTGCGACAGTACTTTTGTTATAATGAACCATTATCTTTGTAATTCCAGTGTGAACGTGGGCTGTGGGCCGGCGGAGGAGCGCGTGCTTCTGACGGGCTTGCACGCGGTGGCGGACATCTACTGCGAGTGCTGCAAGACCATGCTCGGCTGGAAATATGTAAGCACACCATTATTATGTACTACATTTAAGGCCTATTCAAACCTGAGCGATATTCGCTGCCGCTGTGGGTAGAGGTACATACCGCGCGGGTTTCGCTCAGGTATTTAGTATTAAGTATCGCGACTAGAGTGACCTGAGCGATATTCGCTGCCGCTGTGGGTAGAGGTACATACCACGCGGGTTTCGCTCAGGTATTTAGTATCAAGTACCGCGGCAATACCGCTTAGGTCTGAACAGTATTATTACAGCATACCCACTGAGTTTTCTCTGCCGCAGACGGTAGCGAATACCGCTTAAGCCTTTATAGGAATAATAGTCACTAATACTTCAACCACACCAACGCGTGCAGATCGCGATCACGGCGCGATCATAGGAAAATTTCAGGTCGCGTGCTATCATGGGTCGCGCGCCCTGTCATTGGCCTTTGATCGCGATGGCAATCTGCACGAGTTGGTGTGGTTGAAGCTTAATTTGCATTAAACTTTCTATTAGAGCCACATCAGCTACAGCAAATATGCTACTTTTAGCATCGGCGATCGCCGATTTAGCCGCTTTCTATAGTCTGGTCCGTGAGCACGTAGAATTTTGTCCAATGACCCCTAGCTACCCATCCTTATCGCTCGCGCGTAATTATATTGCTGTCGCGACTGTGCGACTGGCACCCGCAGTGAGTGTGCGAGCGTGTGGACAAAATTCTACGTGCTCACGGACCAGACTATAGAAGCTAAATGCAGCGACCATACATTTCACACCGCACACTTAGGCTGAGTTGCACCATCTAACTTTGACCGTAACTTTAACGATGACCTGTGTTTTTTATGGAGTTTGACAGATTTTTGACGTTTGCCAAAGTTAAAGTGAGATGGTGCAACTTAGCCTTAAAAACGCCCAACGCAACGCGGCGACTGAGTAGGTATCTTTTCGGAAGCTTGACGCTGCGAGTAGGGTTGCCAGGCGTCCGGCTTAGCCGGACATGTTTGGCTTTTTAGGGACTTGTCCGGCCAAATATTGCCTTGTCCGGCCTGTCCGGCTTTTGTTAGGCTTTTTATTTGGTTGCCGCGCCAGGCGAAAGTCGAGCCACAGAATCATATGTAGCGCACGCATCAGGATGTCGGTTAGCAACCGATGATGATAGTAGGTACTCAGTCATGACCTGACACTAATTACATCCTCAGTCATTAAACCCCACCCCAAGATCACTGGCCTTTTAATCCTTTGGATCTAATCGGAGTTTATTTTGTGACTCTTTATAAATATTTGCCTTTTATCTCTCAAGTCTAATAACTTCGTTATCCTTTTGCGACGAAATTTTCATTGGACTGTTTCTTTTTAAATTTCGCTGGTATTCAGAACAACTGGATAGTGAATAATTTGCGCTTATCAATTATAAAGTTAATTAAACCTGTTGTTATGTAACTTAATAACTGGCAGTATATGCAATTAATAAGTTTTTAATATTTATAAATAAACTGCTAATTGCTCTGCGGACTGATAGCTCTCTATCACCGCGATACGGTATTGATTGCTTGACCACAACGACCCAGGCGGTTAAATAATAAATAAACCTAATGATGGCCAGTCTGCCACTCACTTATAAGTCTACCTTTTAGAGATAGTTCAAACTGAGGGCCATTCCTCCAAAGAAACTCAATATACACGTAGTAATAATTGAGTGAGAATATCGCAACGAGAGAATCGTGACGAGGGCGTGCATTATCCATCAACACTAGAAAAGAGATTAACCTTTTCATAAAATGTGTTATGAATACATAACATAACTCCTTGTAAATTGGTAATACAAACCGGTGAAACGACAATATCAAAATTGTATTTCGTGTGGGCGGCACACGACTTCGTGAAGTGAATACTTAATATGATAAGATGAATGAAATAAAATAGAGTCTATCTATATTAGACATCTTACTTAGCTAAATACACAAACTTTACCTACACTTTATATTTTCTTTCCAGGAGCACGCGTTCGAGTCCAGCCAGAAATACAAGGAGGGGAAATTCATAATAGAACTGGCTCACATGGTGAAAGAGAACGGGTGGGACTAGGCCCGGGAGCCGCCACCGGGGCCCGCCGGGGCCCGGGCCCCGGTGGCCGCGGCGCCAGGCCGGCCCGGACATGGCACGAGCCTAGTGGACTAAAGTGCTGTTGTGTGATAGACTGGTCGTGGGAAACCTACGCGTGACGCCTGACAATTCCGTGCGCCTTAACCCGCGGGGTCAGGTCGGACGGACTGATATGCACCATGAGTGTTCCTTCTCGGCTTAATAAAGGGGCTATGCGACACTAGGATGGGCTCCCGTCGACGAGCGGAGCCCTCGTGATGATGTGGCAGGCGAGTTGAACCGTGAAGCTCGCCTATGAGGTCCTGATTCCGGCGCTTTGCGTCCCTCGGCCGACGTCGCCCGATGTCACCCGAGACATGCAAACGTGCAACGATCACGTCACGATAGCGTTTAATGGTGAGCCTCAGCACGAAGACGACTATTTTTATCACACTAATATTATTATTGAAACGCTGAAACTCACCATTTCACGACGACGCGTCTGAAAAGCCGCTACAACTGTAAAGGTATCTGTTGGAGAACATTGATCAAGATTGTTCGATATGTAATAATTAAATTTCTTAGTGATTGTGTGCCCCAGCTTTGCATGTAGCTCGGAGGTTTACGAAGCTTAAGACGCGTGTAGAATTTGTGGTGTAGCGTATCTTGATCAACAAGATCTTTGACATTTACCTGTGGGTTTGAACGAGACGCTTACCTTCGATCATTGGCGCTATGGAGACGCATTCTAACGGGTACGCGATGATCAAGTCACGTGACCTGTCGATAGAATAATAAATAAATAATAAATAAATATCCTTAGACGNCCAGTCGATAGAAGTGTCTATAGTCTGGTCCGTGAGCACGTAGAATTTTGTCCAATGACCCCAAGCTACCCATCTTTATCACTCGCGCGTAATTATGTTGCTATCGCGCTCGCACACTCACTGCGGGTGCCAGTCGCACAGTCGCGACAGCAATATAATTACGCGCGAGCGATAAGGATGGGTAGCTAGGGGTCATTGGACAAAATTCTACGTGCTCACGGACCGGGCTTTAGTGCACGTTAGCGTTTCTGCAGAGCCACGAAGCGTCTGGTTGAAGCCAGCGTGCCGCCTTAAGTCTCCGCAGTAGTGGGCTTCGCTTCGCACGCCACGCGCCAGTCAACGTATTGTTATCGTTATACATAAGTTGTCGATCTCAACCGCCCGTCGAGGGCTCTGGGTTTAGAATTTATACTAATTATAATTTGTAACGTTTGATTTCCGCCGATTCGGCGCATCGCGACGGTCGTTAGTACATCGTAAGTTGTCTTAGTTTTACATTATGTACTGTATTAAGAGAACACTAATACTTTCTCTTGTCCCCTTTAACCTGTGATAAGTATGTTAGTATAGAATTTTGAATTTCTTGAACGATTTTTTCAAGAAGTTGCTCAGAGGTATCAGATGTATGTTCCTAATGATTTCAGCTGTACAATTTGCTTTTTTTATTTTATGAGGAAACTAGTCGAAAAGTGGATGTGTACTGGAAGGGATCATTTCCATTTTGTTTTGCGCCTGATTTAGTGATTGTTTTATTTTTATTTAATAGTTAATTTCGACTGTTCCTCCTTTGATTTTGAGACGTTCATATTGACAAAATTGATTAAAAAAAGGTTTTTAGTTTATATTTCTTAAACACGACTAGGTAATAGAAAATCTGAGGACTTTTTAGATGATGGAGAGAGAGAGATGTGGACAGTTTTATTATTCATTTATTGTTTCCATTGAAATGTATTAATTGTGCGCCATTTACCCGTATACTTTAACTGCGTGGTTCATTTATAGTCTTAACTTCGTAATAAATTGCATGGGCTTTGAGTGTATTATTGACTGCTGTGGTCGTACCGAGTCACCAACTTGTATCAGAGTAATACAAATGAGTAGGTCATCTTCATAGAAACGCTAGAAAGTTTGTCAGTGTGTGCGTGCGCGCCGCATACGTGTTGGCGCGCTCACATACAAACCGCGCCCGTGCGTTTCTATGAAGATGACCTACTCATTTGTATTTACTCTGCTTGTATCGATGCAGAAATATCGAGTCGAGATGCGACTGCCCAGGAAAAGACGTCCGACATCACTATTATATCGTTAATTAATAATCGAAGTACTTCTATTAATTCTACGCAACAACTTCAGCCGTCGCATACCATAATATATCAAGAGCGTTGATAACTGCCATTAGTATATACCTACGTTTGTAATATACATTAACTTATAATAATACAAATTCAACGTAAGTGACGCTCGTTTGATGTTTAAAATGTTTATTTTTACAATAACTAATAAATTAGAATGCTACATTAGACTCGGATTTGTTTAGAGATAAGTCGTTCGTCTATTGTAATTTTCGTTAGTCTAATCTGGTCACGGTGATCGGTTTAACTAAATTGTTTGACGTTTTGAATTACCCAAGAAATCCTTGCAAATGGGGCCATTCTCGTTGATTGCGAAGTACAGTCGAGTGCAGTAGATATGGACCCACAGGAATCCTTTTACGGAGATAAATAAGGATATGAAGTGGATATCTATTTGTATACCCGACTGTACACTTAACTGTCAAACAATTTAGTTTCACTTCACCAAAACCGACCATAAAAGACGTATTTGTGACGATACGAACGAAGTGTGACCATTAAAGTAATATAACACCAAATATATTGTAATAGCTAAAGTGATTTGTCTTATGAACGAGTTTTAAATAATTAAACAAGAGTGATTTTTGCGTCTATTTCATTATGTCGAATGAAATTTATGCAAGAATAGCTCTTCCCAATACAAATACCGAATGTTCAAATATCATGCGACGTGTTCGAAACAGATACGTCGTGAGAGTATCATTAATCTGTGTGAGATGATAAGGTTAATCGATAAACGCATCGCAAGTTCACTTGTTTGTTATATGTAATCGTATTAACTTATCATAGGGTTAACTTAAGGATTCTGATGCACAATGTTCAGGGAAAATCAGTGACGGTGAGAACACAACCCCATTTTTAATTATAATAGATGTTTTTTTACATGCGAATAATTGAATATTGTTGAATGTAAACGTATAGGCGTGAGGCCTTTTTCTGTCTTCGCTTTAAACCACTGTAAATTATTTACATAACAGCACTTGTAAGAGAGATAAAGACACCAGAGTCCAAATTGGGTATCCTTGGCAAAACGTTATTTTAGAGTCAGGGTTAGAGAACCTAAGGCATCCCTAAAGGGAAGTAGGCTCTCCAATTCAAATTCATATTTATTAAATTCTTATGATTATTTCGTGCTGGTTCAGTGACAGTTAAATCTTGTTGCGGTACTAGACTAAATCAATAGAAAGGCGTACTTGCAAGTTACATTGGTGCGAACAAGAAGTGGGAAATTAGTCCCAATTTTGTTACTGAGAAACATCACATAGGGGAGACCTAGGAGAGTTGTGACAATTTTTTCTTTAGGGGCCATATCTCGCTCAAAAAACATTCCACAGCTATGAATCATACAAATTAATGTAGCGCTGTTCCTTCTGTTTTCAAAACAATCACCAAAGTTAACTAAAGTATTAGGGTTTCTAAGAAAATCACCAAAATCTTAGACCACTCCCTCTGTCACAACTCTCCTAGCACCGAGGTAAGTTGTGACAGGTACCGAGGTGAGTTGTGACAGCATTGTATTTCATCTGTTAGATATAAAAATACAATTATACTCAATCAAATATGATTTATTTAGCAAAAAAGTACTTTATAATCATCCTTTAGTAACAATTTAAACAAATAGTAATAAGATGTCGTTACACAGATTGAGCCACATTTCTCCAGCTTTCATTTTCCTCCCACGACACTGGATTTTTTTATTATTATATTTTTTAGCTAATATAGTCACTTAATATATTATTTTCTTCCTCTTCTGTAAAAATTAAATAGTCGCAGTGGTATAATCCATAGACGGAGCTTCGCCTTCTGGGTTTACTTGATAAGCCTCATTCTTCTTATTATATCTTGACAAGTTTAGATTGTAAGTTGTCGCAGCATATTTTATCTTAAACTTTGACCCTTTTTAACCTAATCACTTCATAAGCCAGGTTCTATATTTCGACTCCAGCAAGCAGTTCCTATTATATGGAATTCATGTATAGTTATTCAGAATCAAAAAAGTAGCGGCAGGCAATTATACAAATTATGAACCTTCTAACACACAAAAAACATCAAAAAACATCGTAGAAATGGCCCATCAGAAAAATTAAGTAAGCTAGGAGAGTTGTGACAGGCTGTCACAACTCTCCTAGGTGTTTAAAATGACGACTTGGTTCGAATAATAATTTTTAATTTCTAAACACGATGCGCACACAAAAAATCAGTGCTACATTTTGAGACCTGAATAAACATGCAACTTGAGAAAAAATAACACAACAGTGCACATATACTAAAACATGATATAAATTGAAATAAAATTTTGACGAAAAACTTACTTTTCGCATTTTTCTGTACACAGACGTCATATTTACGTAACCGTGCCTCTAGCGCCGCCCGCAGGTATTTAGTCAAGAAGAGCGTCTTAAGAGCGACAAACAAGCGTTTTTTCCAGCTTCCTAACTATATTAAGTAAGGAGAAATCATCCTTGTCACAACTCACCTCTGTCACAACTCTCCTAGGTCTCCCCTACCCTAAAAAATAAGAACCCTGGAAGCTGTTATGTACATTATCTACTTCGTGGTACAAACACAGGGGTTTACAACAGTTTTCTACATCCATTCGTTTAAATTACGGTGCACGCTTCACTCGCGAGCACAGAATAAGGCCAATTTTCATCGTGAACATTATGCAACATTATAATCGAAACTTATTGAGATTGTCACAGTAGTTTAGATTTAACACTCTTAGACCTATTTCTCCTTGATCTTCAAAGCCGACACTAAAAGCCCCTTTATTCATAGAAACCTGCAAGTTTTTTTAAACACTGTTTTGTCCCTTTTCATCGCAGCTAAATTTTCATTTGGCAAAAAGTGACAAAGCATTCCGTAATTTTTATGAACAAGGGGGTAATTCGATAGTTTGAGAAAAAGAGATGGAGCTAGATTTCTGAGGCATAATTAAAAGTATTTTTCTACTTGATCGTATAGGGATGCTATTAGATATTTTTGGACCATTGTTAAGATTAAAAACTATGATCAGTATCCGTGGAGTGAGGATAAAGAATATTTAATGTTAGATTCCGTGGATGTCGTTTGAAGTGGTTGGCGAGATTAGAGAAACGCTTTCTATAGCTCTTCGACTTGCACCCACACACTACTACCTAAGTATACTACCTCTTGACGTTTCTGAGGGATTGTTCTGTCTACAGACTTCTTACGTACATTCCAAGCAAATATTGTCTACAAAAACCAACTCGAGTCAGAAATGTTTGAAATTGTTAAAAAAAAGTTTACACACGACAGTGTTACACAAAATATTTATGGACTACCTTGATGTATTAAAATAATGGACAATCTTTTAGAAATGTCGAGAACAAAGGTCTTGGAGTGTTAACTAATGACCAAGATAAAGGACATCGTATTTATAAAAGGTGCATTTCACAATGTACGTGTACAATTTGCATATTTTAAAAATAAGATATCCCGGTAGGTGTTTACCAAGAAACCGCTTAATATTTTTGTATTTTCCTAGTATGTAACGAAGCATTATAAATTCGTGGTGTCTTCTAACGATTGTGTATGCATTATGCTATAGATGAATATATCGTAAACATTTGGTTGAAATAATAAGTGCGTAATAAAACACTTTTCGTATTAAAACCGTTGTAATTTATTTACAATATAAATATCCCTTACAAATATTTATGTATTCACAGAACACAGTATTTCATTTATCTACATTATGTACATTTTAAATACAATTTTTAAAAAAATCAGCAATTATAATTTAATTCATTTGCAATCGAGCTTAATTTTTTAATTCAGTCTAAGTTTGGGGGAAGACCCAAACCTGCTTGCCTCAGACTGTAGTTAAAATCGTTTGTAAGCTTTAAAACTAGAGCTGAATATAAAATTTTCAATCATTTTGGATCGATTCTTGAGAGTAGATTAAAAATTCAATGTCGTTTCGAAAACTATAAAGATACAATTTAACAATCATCAAATCAAACCAACAAAATTCATACAATCTTTGGAAGTTGAGTGACGGACTTGAAAATAACTCACATGGCTCTCAGCAAAACGTCGCTGGCGGTTAAAGGGTTAAACCCTTAACCTTTATAAGAGCTCCTCCGGCTATAAGCTATGTATGTCTGAAGACAAGTTGATGAGCGGAGTGTCAGACTCCAAAATTTCTTTTGCCTGCTGTAACTCCCATTCCGACATGGTTGGAAGCGCTTTGAAAAACATCTGAAACGAAATACATTATAATATTAGTAACAACAAACACTTTTTTGAACACCGGTTAAAAATATAGCTGTATTATAAATATAACTGGCTTTTGCCCGCGGCTTAAATTTAGTTTGTCACAGATCGGCATAAATTATAGCCTATATGTTATTCTGGGTATAAACAATAATACTGTAATCTATCATCAAAATCCGTTCAGTAGTTTTTACGTGAGAGTAACATGTTAACACCCAAGTGACCCAAACATCCATTCAAACTTTCGCAGTTATAATATTAGTAGGAAGTAGGATATGTGTATTATCACAGAATAATAATAAGTACTACGTACAGAAGTTTTACTTCGCGAAGCTATTTAAAAAAATGTACGCTCAATGTCATTAACAATATGGTGTAATTTAGCCTGTCTCAAGAGNTGCCCGCCCCGCTCCCGCGCCGCCGCCGCCGCCGCCCCGCTGCCCGCTAAGTTCGAGGCTGAGGCCTTACACAAGCAAAGATTCTCGCCGCCCTGACGTCTTGCAAAATAATGCTTTCTATCTCGCTTGCGCATAGGTAGCTAGTGTATTCGATATTTAAACTTGAAGTTTAATGTGTTGTGTGGTCTGTATTCAAATATTACATCAGTGTATTATGTTCTACTCAATTTAGAATTAAAAATATGACGAAAACATTATAAATACAACGAACTCACCTTGCGTGTCATCAACGTTAATCCGTGTTTCTTCTTCATGTGATCTCGAAGTAACGACATGCGTGGATATCTGTAAAAAATTTACATTTTAATTTTGTTGCACAATCGCTTTTAATACAAGTACATAAAGACGAGAGCGCACTGGTGACTTTTGTCACCGTGGCCATTATGTTTCATATATCTTTGATTATAAGCGATATATCTTTGATTAAACAGTGTCTCTCCATAGATAAGAATAATCTCTATTTGTCTATTTGTCGGTTCTCTTTATAAAAGTGTAAAAGAGAATTTAAGAGAAAGATGTAGTGTCACGGTGACAAAAAGTCACCCGTACGCAAGCGCCGTATCACCCCAATCCCCAATCGTCAGCATATTAGTACATAGCTCTTATTCGTTCGTTTGTTTCAGCCGAAAAACGTCCACTGCTGGACAATAGCCTCTTTTGGGTGCAGTGGAAGCTAAGCGTTGTTGTTGCACAATCGCTCTTATAACAAAGACATAAGACACTCGCCCTCTCGACAGCTGTCAGCATTCAGATTCTAGTTGAATAACCGCTCTTATTACAAGCGCATAAGACGTACCTCTTGGGGCAGACCTGGCAGGCGCAGGGCAGCAGCAGACGCGACACAGTTGGTTACGTCAGCACTCCAGAAGTCCAGACCAAGTATTTTCGTTGGATAACCGCTCTTATCACAAGTCCATAAGACACCTCTTGGGAGTAGAATCCCTATTATTCGACAATCGCTCTTATTATGAGCACATAAGACACACCTCTTGGGGGTGCAGTCAGCAGTACATTAGTCTTATAGCAAAGACATACATTAGTGGGTACAGTCGGCAGTTGTCAGCATTCCAGACTAAAATTTTTGTTGGATAACCGCTCTTATCTCAAGCGCATAAGACGCACCTCTTGGGGCAGACCTGGCAAGCGCAGGGCAGCGGCAGACGCAGGTGCACGCGGCGCACGTGGTGGTTGAGCGCGTTCTTGTTCAATAATCGCTCTTATCACAAGCCCATAAGACACCTCTTGGGAATACAATCCTCTAGCACACCAGACTTAGCCTTTTTATTACCTGGCAGGCGCGTCACAGTTGGTTACGTCAGCACNCTAAGTTCGAGGCTGAGGCCTTACACAAGCAAAGATTCTCGCCGCCCTGACGTCTTGCAAAATAATGCTTTCTATCTCGCTTGCGCATAGGTAGCTAGTGTATTCGATATTTAAACTTGAAGTTTAATGTGTTGTGTGGTCTGTATTCAAATATTACATCAGTGTATTATGTTCTACTCAATTTAGAATTAAAAATATGACGAAAACATTATAAATACAACGAACTCACCTTGCGTGTCATCAACGTTAATCCGTGTTTCTTCTTCATGTGATCTCGAAGTAACGACATGCGTGGATATCTGTAAAAAATTTACATTTTAATTTTGTTGCACAATCGCTTTTAATACAAGTACATAAAGACGAGAGCGCACTGGTGACTTTTGTAGAGCATTCAGATTGTAGAACAAGCGTTGTCGTTGGATAATCGCTCTTATCTCAAGCGCATTTAAGACGTACCTCTTGGGGCAGACCTGGCAGGCGCAGGGCAGCGGCAGACGCGATACAGTTGGTTACGTCAGCACTCCAGAAGTCCAGACGACAATACTTGGTATTGTCGTTGGATAACCGCTCTTATCACATGCCCATAAGACCTATCTCTTGGGGCAGACCTGGCAGGCGCAGGGCAGCGGCAGACGCGACACAGTTGGTTACGTCAGCACTCCAGAAGTCCAGACAAAATCCACCAATCACGCAGCATTTGGACCTCGCGTCCACGTATTGCCATCTGGCGGATTTTTCAAACGCGAAAACCCTCATTGATAGCATCTTAAATTACCTCCCTAGCGGAATAGAGCAACAAAGAACTGAGCGAGCGAGATGTCACTAGTAGCAACACTGTCAAACAGAACTTTTTGCAAATATTTGAAGTTTAATAACTTTACGGATATCATTGATTGTTTTACTGTCCAGTGTGTTTTTTGATTACATCTGGGCATACAGATTGTTTCCTGTTCTCGAAAATTTCATAATCAGTTCACATTCAATGTTGCGACTTTGTTGCATATTTTTAGTATTTTGTCGATCACCCGGCGATGATACGCAAGTACTACAATAATTTCACTTCGCGATTAACGAGAGGTTTTGTCGCATCACTAGTTCACAGACCAAAAATATTTTTATGTCAGTTGGCCATATTTGATGACATTTCTGCTGATTTCTACAAAATTAGACTAAATCCGCGAAACAGTAAAAAACTTATGTTCCGATCGATAAAAAAAAAACTGTTGTAGTTCTGGTAAATTAAACTTCTGAATAACGATTCATACAAGTTTCCACATAAGGCGCCATGATCCATATTGATTAAATACTTCAAGTTATTTCGATAATCAAGAAAACACGCACTAAACGTCATTACCATCACAGTAAAAATACTGACCTTTGCCGTTGTCTTTTAATTTTTTCTACTTTACCTATACACAGACCAGATTTTGATTATAAACTAGCGGCCGCCCGCGACTTCGTACGCGTGGATCCCGTTTTACTCCCTTCATCTATCTTACGCGGTTTAGATTTTTTCATACAAATGTTTTTTCCCGCTAACTCCCGTTCCCGTTGNTGTTCTACGCAATTTAGAATTAAAAATATGACGAAAACATTATAAATACAACGAACTCACCTTGCGTGTCATCAACGTTAATCCGTGTTTCTTCTTCATGTGATCTCGAAGTAACGACATGCGTGGATATCTGTAAAAAATTTACATTTCAATTTTGTTGCACAATCGCTTTTAATACAAGTACATAAAGACGAGAGCGCACTGGTGACTTTTGTAGAGCATTCAGATTGTAGAACAAGCGTTGTCGTTGGATAATCGCTCTTATCTCAAGCGCATTTAAGACGTACCTCTTGGGGCAGACCTGGCAGGCGCAGGGCAGCGGCAGACGCGATACAGTTGGTTACGTCAGCACTCCAGAAGTCCAGACGACAATACTTGGTATTGTCGTTGGATAACCGCTCTTATCACATGCCCATAAGACCTATCTCTTGGGGCAGACCTGGCAGGCGCAGGGCAGCGGCAGACGCGACACAGTTGGTTACGTCAGCACTCCAGAAGTCCAGACGACAATACTTGGTATTGTCGTTGGATAACCGCTCTTATCACATGCCCATAAGACCTATCTCTTGGGGCAGACCTGGCAGGCGCAGGGCAGCGGCAGACGCGACACAGTTGGTTACGTCAGCACTCCAGAAGTCCAGACCAAGTATTGTCGTTGGATAATCGCTCTTATCACTAGCCCATAAGACACCTCTTGGGAGTACAATCCATAGCACACCAGACTTAGCTTTTTTATTGGATAACCGCTCTTATCTCAAGCCCATAAGACGTACCTCTTGGGGCAGACCTGGCAGGCGCAGGGCAGCGGCAGACGCAGGTGCACGCGGCGCACGTGGTGGTTGAGCGCGTTCTTGTTCAATAATCGCTCTTATCACAAGCCCATAAGACACCTCTTGGGAATACAATCCTCTAGCACACCAGACTTAGCCTTTTTATTACCTGGCAGGCGCGTCACAGTTGGTTACGTCAGCACTCCAGAAGTCCCGACTAAGTATTGTCGTTGGATAACCGCTCTTATCACGTACCCATAAGACGTACCTCTTGGGGCAGACCTGGCAGGCGCAGGGCAGCGGCAGGTGCCGGTGTACGCGACACACGTGGTAAGTATGAGCAGATATGAGTAGACAAGCTAAGCGTAGTTATTGCACAATCGCTCTTATAACAAAGACATAAGACACTCGCCCTCTCGACAGCTGTCAGCATTCAGATTGTAGAACAAGCGTTGTCGTTGGATAATCGCTCTTATCTCAAGCGCATTTAAGACGTACCTCTTGGGGCAGACCTGGCAGGCGCAGGGCAGCGGCAGACGCGACACAGTTGGTTACGTCAGCACTCCAGAAGTCCAGACGACAATACTTGGTATTGTCGTTGGATAACCGCTCTTATCTCAAGCGCATAAGACGTACCTCTTGGGGCAGACCTGGCAGGCGCAGGGCAGCGGCAGACGCAGGTGCACGCGGCGCACGTGGTGGTTGAACGCGTTCTTGTTCAATAATCGCTCTTATCACAAGCCCATAAGACATCTCTTGGGAATACAATCCTCTAGCACACCAGACTTAGCCTTTTTATTACCTGGCAGGCGCGACACGGTTACGTCAGCACTCCAGAAGTCCCGACTAAGTATTGTCGTTGGATAATCGCTCTTATTACAAGCACAAGACACCTTTTTTGGATGCAGTCGTTAACACATTAGACCAGTGGTTCTTAACCGGTGGTCCGCGGACCACTGATGGTCCCTGGAGGCATGACAAGTAGTCCACGAAGACATCGTAATAAACAAGTGACGTGACGTGATGAGTCGAGTCAACACAACGCAAACGGCGCACAGTGGGTGAGAAATCGACCTCCCCTTTCATAGAATTTTGAAAATAGTACAAGCGGTCCCTGACAAGACAGAAACTTGGTAAAATGGTACCTCGTGACTTAGAGGTTAAGAACCACTGCATTAGACCAAGCGTTGTAGTTGAATAATCGCTCTTATAACAAGCGCATAAGACGTATCTCTTGGGGCAGACCTGGCAGGCGCAGGGCAGCGGCAGACGCGACACAGTTGGTTACGTCAGCACTCCAGAAGTCCAGACCAAGTATTATCGTTGGATAACCGCTCTTATCACAAGCCCATAAGACACCTCTTGGAAGTACAACGGTAGCACACCAGATTTATCTTTTTTATTGGATAACCGCTCTTATCTCAAGCCCATAAGACGTACCTCTTGGGGCAGACCTGGCAGGCGCAGGGCAGCGGTAGGCGCAAGTATATGTGACCCACGTGGTAAGTACCCACTTTTATTTAACAATCGTTCTTATTACGATCATATAAAACATCTCTAAGGCTGGTTTTAGAATCACGCTGACGCACGCTGACCGTCAGCGCCGATAGCCGAAATGTATGGAGCATCGGCGCCGAGCGATCAGCGTCACTTAGAAACGTTCCCTTCAATTACATACATTTTGATTTGTCAGCGCCGACGATCAGCGAGCGGGCAGCGCGATTCTAAAACCAGCCTAAGACCTAAGCATATTTGTTGGAAAATCGCTCTTATTGCAAGCCCATAAGACGTACCTCTTGGGACAGACCTGGCAGGCGCAGGGCAGCGGCAGACGCAGGTGTACGCGGCGCACGTGGTGAGTATGAGCAGATATGAGTAGACAAGCTAAGCGATGTTATTGCACAATCACTCTTATAACAAAGACATAAGACACTCGCCCTCTCGACAGCTGTCAGCATTCAGATTCTAGTTGAATAACCGCTCTTATTACAAGCGCATAAGACGTACCTCTTGGGGCAGACCTGGCAGGCGCAGGGCAGCAGCAGACGCGACACAGTTGGTTACGTCAGCACTCCAGAAGTCCAGACGACAATACTTGGTATTGTCGTTGGATAACCGCTCTTATCTCAAGCGCATAAGACGTACCTCTTGGGGCAGACCTGGCAGGCGCACGTGGTGGTTCAGCGCGTTCTTGTTCAATAATCGCTCTTATCACAAGCCCATAAGACACCTCTTGGGAATACAATCCTCTAGCACACCAGACTTAGCCTTTTTATTACCTGGCAGGCGCGTCACAGTTGGTTACGTCAGCACTCCATCCAGAAGTCCAGACCAAGTACTGTCGTTGGATAATTGCTCTTATTACAAGCCCATAAGACGTACCTCGTATGCTTGGTGTTTCTTTGCGAGATCGAATCAGAAATGAGGAAATCCGTAAACGAACTAAAGTCGCTGACATAGCCCGACGGATTAGCAAGCTGAAGTGGCAATGGGCAGGGCACATAGTGCGCAGAACTGACGGCCGATGGGGCAGCAAGGTTCTGGAATGGAGGCCGCGTACCGGAAGGCGCAGCGTGGGACGTCCACCTACAAGGTGGACCGACGACATCGTAAAGGTAGCAGGGAAGCGCTGGACGCAGGCCGCTACCAATCGATCAACGTGGAAAGCATTAGGGGAGGCCTATGTTCAGCAGTGGACGTCCTATGGCTGACATGATGATGATGATGATGAAGACGTACCTCTTGGGGCAGACCTGGCAGGCGCAGGGCAGCGGCAGACGCAGGTGCACGCGGCGCACGTGGTGGTTCAGCGCGTTCTTGGTGGCGTAGCGCTGCGGACACAGCGAGCAGCCGTACTTCGGTATCGCTGTACGAGATTTAAAAGGGAATTTAAAGAATAATTGAAGGACAACCAACATGACCTAATGATTTATAGCAGGGGTGGCCAACCGGTCGATCGCGAGCGCGACTATTAGTCCAGTCGATCGTGGCCAGGGCCGTCTTTAACCTACTAGGGGCCCTGGGCATTTAAAGATTTTAAGGATTAAGGGGGGCCATTCTCATCTGGAAAAAGGTCTTATTAGCAGATGGGGCCCCCTTCAGTCACGGAGCCCTGGGCACGTGCCCAAAGTGCCCAGTGGGAAAGAGGGGCCTGATCGTGGCAAGGCAAAAAATACTACTTGATTGTGTACTAAACTATGCTGTTTCATTTAAATTTCAAGAAGTATGTAAGTGGTAGATGCCCAGGGTTTCGTTAGTAAACAGTAGATCTTATTTCTAATCAAGTTGGCCACCCCTGATTTATAGGTTTAGCACTTAACTCATTCCGTGTCTGAGGTATGAAGCGGCACGGGAGTGGTGACATTGACGTATACTCAACATCAAATAAACCGCACCTTCCGCGACGCGAACTTTAAACATTTTCTTCTGACACAATCATGGTACCCTAACAATATTGGTGTTATTTGAAAGCCCTATAAATATCCTTAAAGAAAACACATTTAATTTCTTAATAAATGATTAACAAATACCATAAATGTGACTTGAAAAAAGACCTCACTTTGGGCTCACCTCTGGGATCAATTAGACCAATTTTTATGGTTATAAAACCAAATTATGATCTCACGTGTCCTCTTTAACAGATGGATAGCGATTAATTCCAACTTAACAGTTTTATAGCCATAAAAGTTGGCTCAAGCGTAACTACCCATTTTTTGAAGAAGTGGCTCTGGATCCTTCTGAAGACACATTTTTGGGGTAAAAACCTTTCCTTTAATAAAATGAAGTTTAGAACTAGGCTTTAAAATGGTGCCAATATTGGTGGGAAGTGGGGATGCATACGTTTGAAAATGCTCGTCGCGGGAGGTGCGATTTATTTGATGTCGAGTGTGTTATTATGACGTAACAACATACAAATCTAAAGTCGACGTTTGACGACTCAAATACACTCCCATACTGCTCCCATACCTCGGCACTGATTGAGCTGAAGCGCTAGACGTATACATTTTTTTTCGTTATTTAATTCTTAAAAAGGCTGTACAAAACTTGCGCGGGTCACAGTATGGATAGAAGCTCTACCGTAGAGCAGCGATGTGCGGCAGTTCGATACAGACACAAGTTTTACGTTGTAAACGTATAGCCTCACGTTGTATGCCGCGTCAAAATGGTTACTGTAGAAATGTACTGTTTTGGTCTCTTTCAAACGTTGACGTGGGCGTATGGCCGTCGATAGGAATTTCAATTGAAGGTCGTTTAATAGGAGACCGTAGCCTAATATGATAAATAATAAATCGATATGGCAATGTAAGTTACCTTTATGAGTGTCCAAGTGCGCGATGAGCGCCGCCTTGATCTTGAAGGCGCGCTGGCAGTGGTCGCAAATGTACTCCTCGTCCGAATGCTTCTTCAGGTGTCTCTGCACAACACATGCTTCATTCACACCAGGAACTACATAAGACTAAGGGGCGTCCATTAATTACGTGAGACAATTTTGGCTATTTTTTAACCCCCCCGCCCCCCTTGGTGAGATTTCCTCCCCCACCTAATCTCACGTGAGATTGTCCAAAATGCCTATTTGCAATGTAAATGAGATAAACCATGCTTCGAAAATATTAGATTTTAAAAAAACCAGACCTGCGTAAAAAAAATAACTGTAATGACAAAACAAAACAATTTAGGCCCAGTTTTTTACTTTTAGTACAATTTTTAACTATTAGTTTACATTATGTTGTTAATATTTAAGTACGGATCTAAAAACTGGGCCTGTGTTCACAAATGCTGATGGAGGATTTACTCTGTTTGTTGTGGAAAAAAATTACGTGATATACTCTCGTGATCCCGTTCGAAACAAAAAAAAAGTCTGCTTATTTATTGCCATTAAGGCGGAACAAAGTTCGCCGGGTCAGCTAGTATCATATAATGCCAAAATCGTAAATTTAGTAATATATCATATAATGCCAAAATCGCGAAATCTTATGCGTAGTACGTATACATCGATGATATTTTTTATGTAAATAATTCAAAACAAAACTCTTTTTTTCTCTTAACTCCAGGGATATATTTCAGTGCGCTTCGGTTTACACATTAGTATTGGTCTGAGGAATAAAATGCACTATGGGTTGATTCTGGGCAACACTTGGTCCAGACCCTGGCACTATCCTTTCAATCAAACTCACTGTAAGCGCGGCGGCCGAGGTGTAGGCGCTGGGACATTGGTCGCAGCAGTAGGGCCGCACGCCAAGATGCATGTTCTCATGGGCGACCAAATTGTTCTCAATCTTGAACCTTATGTTCTGGACACTAAAGTTCAATATATGGTGGCATCAAACTCACTCGCAGCAGTAGGCCTGCACGCCGCGATGCATGTTCTATGCGCGGCCAGTTTATTTTTGATTTTGAGCCTGTGGGAGTCGCATCGTGTCAGCCGCCGTACTGCGAGATAGGCCGCAAAGAGGCCGCTTATATTTATAACCTCCGGCCGAGAGGTCCGAGAGGCTGTCTCGCAGTACGGCGGCTGACACGATGCGACTCCCACATCACTCTACAGTCGCTATGAAAAGAGGGCGACCTGAAACTGGACATATATATAACGCCCGAGAGGACCGATATTGCTATCTCGCTTCCTCTATGGGAGCGCGCGGGAACGCGCTGAAAGTTTCGTGGTTTTCATGTTGTGTGCGACAGCCAATGTTTCTGTCTCCTTTCTGTGGTACTATAAATATAGCGGCCTATCTCGCAGTTCGGCGGCTGACACGATGCGACTCCCACAAGCCTTATGTCTTGTACACTAAATTTCAATCAAACTCACTGTAAGCGCGGCGGCCGAGGTGTAGGCGCTGGGACATTGGTCGCAGCAGTAGGGCCGCACGCCGCGATGCATGTTCTCATGGGCGANATGATGATGATGATGATGATGATGATGAAGACGTACCTCTTGGGGCAGACCTGGCAGGCGCAGGGCAGCGGCAGACGCAGGTGCACGCGGCGCACGTGGTGGTTCAGCGCGTTCTTGGTGGCGTAGCGCTGCGGACACAGCGAGCAGCCGTACTTCGGTATCGCTGTATGAAAACATTAATAATTAATAAATAATTATCCTTGGACATTTTACACTGCGCTTCTAGTCCCAAACTAAGAAAAGCTTGTACTATGGGTACTAGACAACGGATATAAACATACTTAAATACTTTTTTTTTGTAAATACATTCTAATTATACACAGAAAACACCCAGTCCAATACAAACAAATATGTTCATGCACAATTGCACACAAATGTTTGTACTGGACTGTACCGGAATAGTAGTCCGTTTCGAACCACTACACCAAACGGCCGACAAACGACTGAAAGTATTTACATAAATCCGCTAATATACACATGCGTAAGTTTAATAAAAGCGTATAAAAATTATCAGCCCAATGATTTATATATTTTTTTACTTTTTTAGAATTTTAATGCCCAAAAAGGATGTACTCTAAAACATGCGCAGGTGCTCGGAATTCGTGTCTGTAAAAATAGTTTGAACGTGCGTGCAGAAAAACGATAAAAAAAATTCGACTTAGTCAAGAGTTTTAGCGTAGGTATAGTCTGGTCCGGGAGCACGTAGAATTTTGTCCAAATTCTACGTGCTCGCGGACCAGACTATAGCTATAAATATTTAAAATGGCAATGTGATTGATGGGTACAGCGTCACGCTGTACTAAATGTGGTTTCTTTTAGACGTTGACGTCGGCGTATGGACGTCGATATTAATTGCAATAGGAAGAGACGAATAAATATAGCGAAATAACAATGTAATGTACCTTTATGAGTGTCCAAGTGCGCGATGAGCGCCGCCTTGATCTTGAAGGAGCGCTGGCAGTGGTCGCAAATGTACTCCTCGTCCGAATGCTTCTTCAGGTGTCTCTGCACAACACATGCTTCATTCACACCAGGAACTACATAAGACTAACCTCCTATATCCTTTAAGCTTAAGGGGGTGTCCATTAATTACGTCGTGAGACGTTTAGGGGGGTGAGAGGGTCGAGAAAAACCTCACTAAATCTCATGTAGGGGAGAGGGGGGGGGTCTCAAGAAATATCACGTAATTTTTTTTCCACAACAAACAGAGTAAATCCTCCGTCTGCATTTGTGAACACAATCCCAGTTTTTAGATCCGCAGTTTGCTACCAATGCTTAGATATTAACAAAATGTAAACTAACAGTTAAAAATTGTACTAAAAGTTATTTTTTTACGTAGGTCGGGTTGTTTATTTTATAAAATCATATATTTTCAAGGCATGGATTATCTCATTTACATTGCACACAGGCATTTTAGAAAATCTCACGTGACATTAGGGGGTGGGGGAGGGGATCTGGCAAAATCTCATGAAATCNAGATATTAACAAAATGTAAACTAACAGTTAAAAATTGTACTAAAAGTTATTTTTTTACGTAGGTCGGGTTGTTTATTTTATAAAATCATATATTTTCAAGGCATGGATTATCTCATTTACATTGCACACAGGCATTTTAGAAAATCTCACGTGACATTAGGGGGTGGGGGAGGGGATCTGGCAAAATCTCATGAAATCTCACCAAGGGGGGTGGGGGGGTTAAAAATAGCCAAAATTGTCTCACGTAATTTATGGACGCCCCCTAAGCGCAGACCACCGACTTCTAGTTGGCCGATAGTTGGGCCCGATTCTAATTTGTATGAAGAATCGGCCGAGACCAAATCGGTGTAATGTGCGCACTTTTATACATCTCCATACTGATCAACAGCCCGGCCAAGCCAACTATCGTCCAACTAAAAATCGGTGGTCTGCGCCTAGGGTAATAGGGATGTTTCCTGGGTAAAAAAGCAAGAGTTTTAATTAATCCGTCAGTTAGCTTATCAAAAACTAATCGACACGTATTTCTTACTTTTTAAAACTAATGAAAATGTAAAGTGATAAAGCGTGCCAAAGTTCTAAAGAAAAGGCCCCTGACGTCAGTGAGTGCGTAAAATTGCAGCACTTTGTGACGTCGCGCAGAACTTCAACGCACTATAACTTTGTAATTGTTTGATTGACGATTAAAAATATACGTGTCCAATATTTTTTTTTTTAAATTTAAGGATTAAAAAAAATTTTTTTGGGAACTAGCCTATTCATCATGGGTTCCATAAGTTGCAATCATTGTTAGGTCCGGTTTTTTTTCATAAAGATCGATAACGGTCGCAGTGATACTACGACTTTATTGAACTAGAATAGCCGCTCAACACAAATAAAAAAATTGGTCCGGTTTACACCAAAGCGGAGAGAAGAGCAAAAAATCTCGCGGCACATTTTCTATAGTATCATATCATATAATGCCAAAATCGTAAATTTAGTAATATATCATATAATGCCAAAATCGCGAAATCTTATGCGTAGTACGTATACATCGATGATATTTTTTATGTAAATAATTCAAAACAAAACTCTTTTTTTCTCTTAACTCCAGGGATATATTTCAGTGCGCTTCGGTTTACACATTAGTATAGGCCTGAGGAACAAAATGCACTATGGGTTGATTCTGGGCAACACTTGGTCCAGACCCTGGCACTATCCTTTCAATCAAACTCACTGTAAGCGCGGCGGCCGAGGTGTAGGCGCTGGGACATTGGTCGCAGCAGTAGGGCCGCACGCCGCGATGCATGTTCTATGCGCGGCCAGTTTATTTTTGATTTTGAGCCTTATGTCTTGTACACTAAAAGACAATGCCGGAAATTGGCGTCTTTTTTTTTTCGCGCGGCCATCGACCAAACTTTGTTTTTTGATTACAAAATAGTGTAATAAACCAAACTTACTATGGCATGTATACCTCTAACTCTGTCTGAACTGAGTTACGAGCAAAAAGCAAATCTAGTACCATGTAAAATCATTAAACTTCTAATGCTCGTAACTCAGTTCAGACTGTCATAGTAACATACATGTCATAGTAAGTTTGGTTTATCACACTATTTTGTAATAAAAAAATAAGGTTTGGTCGATGGCCGCGCGAAAAAAAAAAGACGCCACCTTCCATACATAATCTGGCATTGCCATTTCAATCAAACTCACTGTAAGCGCGGCGGCCGAGGTGTAGGCGCTGGGACATTGGTCGCAGCAGTAGGGCCGCACGCCGCGATGCATGTTCTCATGGGCGACCAAATTGTTCTTGCTGGTAAACGTCGCTGAGCACCTCGTGCAGGGAAAACTGGAGGATAAAAAATAGAGTTGTTAAAACGGCACTTATACTATAGTCCGGTCGCAGAGCACGTAGAATTTTGTCCAATGACCCCAAGCTGTCGACGACTGTGCAACCGACGGGCGGCCTCAGTGAGTGTTCGACCGCGACAGCAACATAATTACGCGCGAGCGATAAGGATGGGTAGCTTCGGGTCATTGGACGAAATTGCACTGAAATACATTAGTATAGATTTGTCTATTATTTAAGAAGGCTAAACTAAAGCGATATAGTTATAGAACCAACTGAATTCGTGAATTGTATAAAACTGTACTACACAAAATTAAATAATACTCACCGCTTGAAGCCTTTATTCTTGTAAACAGGTACGGTTCTGAGGTCGGGTATAAACGGCCGGCTGCGGCCCTTGCGGCCCAGGAACAAAGCTCGCGCCTTCAGAACTATCATGGCGTCGCGCGCCTGACATATCTTCTCGTGTTTGTAGAGGTTTGTTTTGCTGCAACAGACCAGTCACGTCTAATGGTTGTAATCATGCATCATTTAATGGTTTACGAAATTACATCACAATCACAGAAAAAATCTGCTCATAGTCTTCGGACTGATTGCATGATAGAGTAAATTATATTAAAAAAAAAAAGAAATTACTTAATCCACTTGTTATGGAATTTACTTTTTCTATCACTTACCTTAAATCAGTCATGATAAATTTATCTCAAAACAATCGCTGGCAAAGACTTGGACAATACTGCGACACACCTATCTTTCAAATGTTGCACATAAAAATAGTTTACACTACCCACATTAGTAAAAATATTTATGTAAAAACTAGCGTTCTTTAGTAACAAGTGGGTTAATGGACAAATGGTAGTTTGAGTAAGTCTCACGCTTAAGGTTAAAATTTTCGTAACTTTATTTATTTTTTCTTAACATACCTTCTAAAGTCCACACCACAAGCATAACAAACAAGATATCTAGGGCCATGTTTTTCTTGATAGTGCCGTTCTGCGGCAGGAATGCAGTTAGTCATCTTACCACATTTGAAACACCTGAAATTAATACATTTCATTCGTATGAATTATATAAAAGAACTGCTTTAATTGAACTTACAACATCTGATTCAAACTTCTAATTCACATATTTGTTTATATTGTTCATTTAAAAGAAATCATTCAAAGAGTATTNTTGTTCTCACTTACTCATACATCAAATCAGAAAGGATGTAAAAACCCTTCGGTGGCTTGGGTGCTTTGTTACTCCTCATAACTTCCACCAGAGATTTGATGAGAGCTTTTTGATTCCTTTCTAACTCTGGATATTGCTGTCTCAAGTCTTCCACAAAGGACCTCTGTCGAGATGGACTCAACATTTTAACCCGTTTTTTTTTCTTCGACTGTCCTCCCACACTTTCTAAATCAGAATTAAAATCTGAATTGTAGTTATCATTATCACTTTCAACTTGGTAGTCTGGATCATCACAATTATTTTCATCGAGAGCCTCGTAGCCATAGTTATTCAGATAGTTGTCAAAGTCTTCAATATTATGATCAACGTCTTCAGCATTATGATCAAATTCTTCAGCACTATGATCAAAGTCTTCAGCATTATGATCAAAATCTTCAGCAATACTATCAAAGTCTTTAGCATTATGATCAACTTCTTCATCATCGTAACGCTCTATTTTGATGTTGTGTATTGCTTGCTCGAAAGTTACATCGCCGTCTGATTCGTCTATGAAGACGTCTGTTCGTAAATTTATAGGCCGGCCATACCGTTGAGCTGCTTCTATCACTTGCATCACGTCATCTGCGTCGAATGGCTCCTCTTTGACTTGAATGGGAGCACACACTTTACCAGAATTCCACTCGATATCATCATCATCTTCATCGCCGATCACAACTACTAACATGTCATCATCTTCCTCCATGATAAGGCGTTGCGCTTCGACTATCTCGTCTTAGTCCAAGGATTAAATACCCTCTGTAATGTTTTATTTATCACATTAGCAATTACACGATAAACAAGGATTGTTTGTTTATTTTCATTTTTGAGACCGCCAATTTTTATCAATTTTGACAATTACGAAAATCTATCGCAATGAAAGCAAAGGCAAATCATTCAGACCGCCATTGATTTTATTGTACCAACCACGCTTAGCAACTTCAATGAACAGCAACAGACAGATCCAAAAGGTCTACATTACTTTCAGCCTAAACAAGCAATTCACACAATAATCACAATTATTTATGTATTAAATTATAAATTACCTTTCTGTGCTCACTCAGGAAGAGAAGAATAATATTATTTTTTCTTTTCTTCCTTCCTTTGCGTTCCTTTGCCTGCCTGTCTGAGTTTTTTTTTCTACCCATAGACTAAAGAGAGAAGGAGAGACAGATTCTCTAATCCATATCTGTGGACAGATTAGTCGATTAATTTCGNACTTCTCAGAAACAGGAGTTAAATTCTATCTAATCAACACTCGAAAACTATTCCAATTTAATCTAATTATCAAATTACTATTTCAATACAAATTATGCAATTATCACGGACGCGTGACAACAAACCAAAACAAACCTGTCGGAAGAATAAAAACTGGTTTTTTACCGGCTAGTCAACAAGGAGTGAGCTGGATGAGAGAGAACAAAAATTAAAATATTCAAAACCTTACCTGTGTACAAATAGAGTTTAAATTACGTAATACATCAAACACCTATTCCTATCTCACACCTGCCTGCGCTCAAATTTGTTTGTCAGACAGAGACGGAGTGAATCTCTACGTTCGCACATAAGCTTAGCGAGAAATACGCGGTGCACGTAATACACGACTACGGATTATGCAATAATAACCTCTATTACTTTGATGGTAGGGTCGGAAATCGTGTAATTTAAAAAATACTAGATGGATCAAGTATTTTAAAAATTGGAATAGGTGCCACTTAGTACTGTAAAATACCTAGTGTGTGGATCTGTTCTAGTAAATACGTCTCATCTCTAGTTTATTTATTTTCATTTTTGAGACCGCCAATTTTTATCAATTTTGACAATTACGAAAATCTATCGCGATGAAAGCAAAGGCAAATCATTCAGACCGCCATTGATTTTATTCACAGATTTTATTGTACCAACCACGCTTAGCAACTTCAATCATCAGCAACAGATAGATTCAAAAGGTCTACATTACTTTCAGCCTAAACAAGCAATTCACACAATAATAACAATTATTTATGTATTAAATTATAAATTACCTTTCTGTGCTCACTCCAATAATATTATAGATGACCCACGCTGAACTGTCCCACCAAACTCAATGACAGGGGGGCGCTACCATCGTTCAACTATATGGTTTGCAACATGGCAAAAATCTGAACCAGCGATTCGGTATTGACGGTGGCGCCCCACTGTCAATGTCATCGACAGGACAGTCCAGTATTTTGGAACTATATTTTTTCTTTTCTTCCTTCCTTTGCGTTTGTTTGCGTTCCTTTGCCTGAGCCCCGATTACGGTAACTTTTAACGTCAACAATCCAGACACGCTTCTCGATTCTGCGATACGATTGGTCGTTCAACAGCGTACGTCAGCTGTTTTGACCAATCGTATCGCAGAATCAGAAACGCGTCTGGATTGTAGACGTTATAAAAGTTACCGTAATCGGGGCTCTGCTGGCCTGCCTGCCTGAGTTTTTTTTTCTACCCATAGACTAAATAGAGAAGGAGAGACAGATTAGTCGATTTAAATGCAGTAATTTCGACTAGAGACCAAACAAATAAGATTTTCAGTGAAGTAAAAAGCTCCCCTAGACAAGTAGGAAAACGGGACAGTTGCATGTTCAAAATCCGTTCGCGAAACGAGTAATTATTGCGTATAAAAAAACATCACAACGGAAAAATGACTCAAGTTGAACGTATAAATACAAACATAATTATTTCAATATTAAGCTGGGTCTCCTTGAGATTTTTTGTTGATTTTTACGCGTTGCCGCGTTGCATTGAGCAACTTCAAGTGTATCGAATATAATTTTTCAAAGGCTGAAGATCCAAAATCACAATCCTAAAAGGTGAAAACCGACATCACTATTGACCAAAGAGCAAAAATATTTTGACATTGACATGACAAAAATGACGAATGACAAACTGACTGTGACAAACTTACTCTCTATCTCTAATCTGTGTGACAAACAACAAAACAAAGAAGGGTTGAAAAAGGAAAAAACGAGCGGGAACGTGTTTATTTTCCTAAAATCAAATTAAATACATCGAATTCCTGTAGTAAAGCAGTAATTATGAATAGTTTTAGTGCTTCTGCACCTAATACATTAAGTCTCTCGTCTAGTTCAAAATTATTAGCACTAGAAAAGACATTACATCAAAGTATCGTCAACTTTCAAGGTAAAACACTAAAACAGATACATAATTAATAAGAAGATCTTTAATTATTTATTTATAGGCCAAAGATAGTGATACAAAATTTAAAATCGTACCTTTACATTTCTTCATTCATAAACCTCATTATCATGAGACAATAATTTATTACAAATCACTGAGTTACTGGCACTAAACTTCGATTAAGGCACTAAACTTATTAATCTTTGTATATTTCAGAAGTTGCTAGAGAAATTGAAGCATTGCACTTAGTATCTGAGGATTACAAAAACCAGTTTTTAACACAAAAGGAAAAATGTGAAAGGTTTGTTTATTAGTTTTTAGTAATATCATGTCTTTAGTAAAATGCATGTAGAACACCCAGTTATTGACTCATTCTAGGACTTACATACCTATCAAACTAATAGTTATCCACTGTTCATTATAAAATAATTGTAATTAAATTAAACCTTAAGGAAAAGCCACGTTATCAGAAGATTCATGTATAATATGAATTTTAATGGGTATCCATAGACTGGTTTTTTTTTAAAGTTTAATTTTAATATCTTTCAATCATTCTTTTCTACATAATGCTTTGTAAATTTGTACTTTTTACCCCATGTAAGTGGTGCTATTTTTGTGCATGATATAATTTTAACATACAAGGAGATAGACATAAACCTTGTTATATTATTATGTCATTTTCAGCAAACATTGCAGTGCTTCAGAGGCACTGTCAAAGGTTATAGAATGTAAGGATAACATAATACAATCAGTTGGTAAGTAATAACTTTGTTCTACAAATAGCTACACTTTTACAACAGCCATTAAGGATGTAGAAAATTTATCTTACATTTCATCAAGTGATGGTCACTTTTAACCATAATACTCACAATATTCCAGCATCGGCAGTAACAAGACTTAATGAAACAAAAAACTTCAATATGATCAAAGATATCTTTAAAATACTATGCGGAGATTCCCCTATTACAGTTCTTAAAGTAGAACCACAGATTGTAAAGGATGAAAAAAATAATACATTTAATTTTATAACTCCAAAAAAAGAACTTGACTCCACTACAGATATTACTGACGTAACTATGAAAGATGAATCTGTATCAGAAATTGAAGGCACACCTACCGGACGAACCAGTCCTATAATCCAGTCTAGGAAGATGAAAAATGGGTGTGTATCGTCATCATCTGACCATAGAGACAAAAAGAAATGTCCTGATAGTTGGTAAGTCTTAGCAGTTTCAATCATTTTTATGCATTATCTCTTTGGTCTAGGTGTTTTGTATACTTTCTAATTTAGTACACCATTAATTTACATAAATTTCTGACTTCATAAACTTTCATGCCACAAATGCCAATGTATTTTAGATCTTATTACATCCCAATTAGGTCTACACCAGATTCAAAGGCGATGAAGCTAACATTTCCTCCCAACTCCAAACGCGGCAAGTGGAGGCAAGGCCGCCTGAGTGTCGTCACGGTGAAATCAAACAGTGTGGTGGATCTCACCAGTTCACCGGAGTTGATGGCTATGAACAAGAGCTCACAACCAGAAACTATTGTCCAGGTATGATTACTGAATACTTGAATAGTATAATAACTTTTATATGTTACTAATTTAGTTTATGTGGTACAGTTAAAACTCATAATAGGTCAAAACCGATTTTGACTGGAAAAATCAGTCAAAAGTGATATTGACGAAGGGCGTTGTCAAAACCACTTCTGTTGACTGCAAAAAATCTTGACTTGAAAAAAGCCAATGTTGCCCCTCATTTCTGGGACAAATTAGACCGATTCCGCTCCCGTTGATAGAAGGTGGCCTTTAAGACGCCCATCCAGCACGAGACCGCGTGGCAGTTTTGAGTATATTTCTTTAGTGCCATGCTAATTTCTAGATTAAAAGATTAATCCCTATTTAACAGCAGTTTTATAACCATAACCAACCAAAAATTTGGCTCAAGCGTAATAAACCTGTCGCTTTAAGAAGATACACTGGATCTTCCTAAAGACACATTTTTTGAGCAACTAGGCTTTAAAATGGGAAGTGGGGATGCATACGCTTGAAAGTGTTTGTCGCGGGAGGTGCGATTAATTTGACGCCGAGTGTTTAAGTTAAAGTTTAATTAAAAAAAGAAAAAGTTATCAAATATTTGTAAACGGAAACTGCGATTGAGTAAAATTAAGCCACGTTAAGTAAAATTGTTGTTATCCATACTTAATTATATTTTTTTTCATTTTAGGCGTTAGTAAAGAAAGAATCGACAGACAACGACGACACTATTCTACCTTCGCCAACCAGCGGACCAAATAATTATCCATCTTTGTAAGTAAACAGAAAAAATGTTTATTCACACTTATTGCACCTTTTTGGCTCGAGTTTTTTTGCAAAATTATTAACATAATATTTGAATTTTACAGATTGAAAAACCCCATCAAAAGTGAGAGCTTCAAAAGGCCACTATGTTTGAAAAATAAGTCTGAAGACAAAATAAATAAATGTAACGTAGAAAATAGTCCAAAAAAGAAATCAACTAAAAGACAGGAAGAACCTGATGAATCCATCAATTTATTGAAACCTGCCAGGTTACATATTTACTGACATAAATAAAATTAGCATAACTTTCACACAATTACAAAATCACAGTAGGTACTAACACAAATTAGATTAGTGCAGCTATTAACTTGGAAGATTGTTTTAATACCATCTGTATCTACGCTACTTTTACAAATAAAATACATCAGTAACTTTTTGACATTGTATAATTTTTATTAAATTTAACTGTTTGACATTTTATAAAATTGACATTGTATTTATTTGACATTTAGAAATTTATGTATAATTTATTACTATTTAATTAATATTTTAGTCTGCACTCTGTATTAATTTTAACTGTGGAAACTTTGCTGATTTCTGTTCTATTTTTTGTGTGATTATTTGTCTGTATATCAAAATTGTTTGTTTCCCTAATATAAATAAATAAAGGTAGCATCATACATAGGGAGAAGCCACACGGTGCGCACCGCACCGCACCGCAAACATTTTGTCGCATCACTGTACACATGGCGGTATGCGGCGCAATACGGCACCGTCTCGCTCAATCGAAGTGCGGCGTGCCTGCGGTGCGGCGCCGGAACGCACCGTGTGTAGGGTTGCCAGGTAAANACGCTGGGTAGGGTAAAAAAAAATAACGAGATTTGATGATTTGTAGGAATTAATTTATTTAAAAAGGTAAATAAAGATGTTTTTGGTTTTGTATTTAACAAATTATCAGTTTTATCGGAATTAATTAATTGTCGAATCGAGTCACACGATATCTTTCGATGACTTTGCGAATGCAGTACGATGATACGATTATTTTTACGTTGCGGCAATCACTAAAATTCGCTAAAATGACACTAATGACGTTTAAAAAGTGGCACGCTCGGCTTCATACAAATTTTTTCACATGCTGCATCTATCTTTATCTGTGAATTTCGACTATAGTCCGATTTTTAATTCGACGGAATTCTGACAGCTGTCATTTTTTGACAATTCAGATGTAATAAGCCTTTTTTGTTTTGAATTATTAATAAATAATATGAAATGAAATTTCATCAAGTACAATGTACAAGAATGAACTATTTTTTGTTTTGTGAATTCAATGAACACTAATTATTATGTACATTTTAGAGATTAAATAGAAAAAAAAACGTGTTTTTAACGTAGTAAAACAACATATTATCATAAACGAAAATATGTATTGATCATCAATCATCATTATCGTCATCATAATCAACTTGGATTATACAATTGGCATCTTGTTAAGTTGATTATTTTATGAAGCTAAGATTTTATTAACAAAAGGATTTTCATAAAAAAGGTTTGTAACCCATGGATTATTGGCCAGGGAGACCAGTAATAGAAAAATAATTTCCCAATTTTTTTTGTAACTTCAAAAGTATGATAATAAAAATTCAAATAATCNTCAAAACCAATTTTGACTGGAAAAATCAGTCAAAAGTGATATTGACCAAGGGCGTTGTCAAAATCACTTCTGTTGACTGCAAAAAATGTTGACTTGAAAAAAGCCAATGTTCCCCTCATCTCTGGGAAAAATTAGACCAATTATTTTGATTATAAAACCAAATGATAACCTAAGCAGTTTTATAAGCATAAAATTTGGCTGGAGCGTAATAAACCTGTCGCTTTAAGAAGATACACTGGATCTTCCTAAAGACACATTTTTTGAACAACTAGGCTTTCAAATGATACCAGTATTGGTGGGAAGTGGGGATGCATACGCTTGAAAGTGTTTGTCGCGGGAGGTGCGATTACTTTGACGCCGAGTGTTTAAGTTAAAGTTTAATTAAAAAAAGAAACAGTAATAAAATAATTGTAAACAGAAACTGCGATTGACGCTTTACGTCTATGAACACCACGTTAAGTAAAATTGTTGTTATCCGTACTTAATTTTTTTTTTTCATTTTAGGCGTTAGTAAAGAAAGAATCGACAGACAACGACGACACTATTCTACCTTCGCCAACCAGCGGATCAAATAATTATCCATCTTTGTAAGTAAACAGAAAAAATGATTTTCACACTTTTTGCATCTTTTTGGCTGGAGTTGTTTAAAAATTAACATAATATTTAAATTTTACAGATTGAAAAACCCCATCAAAAGTGAGAGCTTCAAAAGGCCACTATGTTTAAAAAATAAGTCTGAAGACAAAATAAATAAATGTAACGTAGAAAATAGTCCAAAGAAGACATCAACTAAAAGACAGAAAGAACCTGATGAATCCATCAATTTATTGAAACCTGCCAGGTAAAAAATACATGTTTACTGACATAAATAAAATGAGCATAACTTTCCAGTACTTACACAAATTAAATTAATGCAACTGACAACTGGGAAGATTGTTTTAATACCATCTGTATCTACGCTACTTTTACAAATAAAATACACCAGTAAAGGTTGCATCATACATGGCGGATATTATCTGTGATGGCGGTATGCGGCGCCGCAATACGGCACCGTCTCGCTCAATCGAAGTGCGGCGTGCCTGCGGTGCGGCGCCGGAACGCACCGTGTGTAGGGTTGCCAGGTAAAGCCGGACATGTTTGGCTTTTTACGGTCTTGTCCGGCCTGTCCGGCTTTTGTTAGGCTTTTTATGTGGCTGCCGCGCCAGGCGAAAGTCGAGCTACAGAATAATATAAAGCGCACATCAGGATGTTAGGCAACCGATGATGATAGTACTCACTCGTGAGCTATGACATGTCCGGCATTTAGGGTTAAATGTCCGGCCAAATGAAGCACAGAGTCCGGCTTTTGTGTTTTTGGATCTGACAACCCTAACCGTGTGGCTTCTCCCATATTATAATCGACTCGGCGAAAATAGATTGCCACGTTACAATTTTATGACATGCCCATGACACTCGGCAATCAATATTTTTTCTCTTGACAGATTTATGAAAATGTTAGACGAGAATTCGCCAATAAAAGTGCAACCGATGGACGATGAAACGCACTGCGAGATGCCATCCAGCTTGTCAATACTTGAACACCACGTGTTGGCTTCGAAGGACGCTGGTGAAGCTCTGAAAGCGGTCAGGTAATAGAATAAAACAATTATTACTTATTATTAGTGACCCGCCCCTGCTTCGCACAGGTAAAATGTATTACACTAGCTTTCCGCCCGCGGCTTCGCCCGCGTGGAATTTTGTCTGTCACAGAAAAACTTTATCGCGCGCGTCCCTGTTTCAAAAACCGGGATAAAAACTATCCTATGTCCGTTCCCGGAATTCAAACTATCTCTATGCCAAATTTCATCAAAATTAGTTCAGTGGTTTAGGCGTGAAAGCGTAACAGACAGACAGACAGACAGAGTTACTTTCGCATTTATAATATTAACATAGCAGGGATACTTACCTGCTTAAAAACCTTCCTCTTGAATCACTTTGTTAAATAAAAAAAACGCATCAAAAATCGTAGTTTTAAAGGTACTTATACGCATACAAAGAGACAGACAGTGGAAAGCGACTTTGTTTTATACCATGTAATGACGATGGGGCAGCAAGGTTCTGGAATGGAGGCCGCGTACCGGAAAATGCAGCGTGGGACGTCCACCTACAAGGTGGACCGACGACATCGTAAAGGTACCAATCGATCAACGTGGAAAGCATTAGGGGAGGCCTATGTTCAGCAGTGGACGTCCTATGGCTGAAATGATGATGATAATGCCGGGTTTCCAGCCCACCAAGGCGGATCCATTATTTGCAGTACATATCTCAAATCCGCTCCGCTTCGGTGGAAATGGATCGAGCGGGAAGAGTCGGGCGCACTTGATTTTCTATAGAATTTGACAGCGGCGGTGGCGCGGAGAACGTGCGGAGCGGTGCGGTGTTTCATACGCCCGTATTCACAAACATTACTATGACGTCACAGCGCGCGTGGACGCACAGCGTGACACACGAACCAATCACAGAGCTCTTTTTAACGTTGTGCGTTAGATTTGCTGCTTCATTTAAGCAAGCATCGTTTGTAAATACGGGCGTTATAGCTGACAACTACGCATCTCTCGTCTCCGCACCGCTCCGCTCCGCTTTGGTTGCTTAGCCCAGCGGTTCCCGAATGGTGGTCCGCGGAACCCTGGGGTTCCGTGGAAAGGCCGCAAGGGTTCCGTAAAAAATATTATCCCACGTTTCGTGACCGACGTTGTTCGCTCGCACCGACTTGTTTACGCACAAGGAAGGGGCAGGGCGTGCGGGCGGAGTAGTACGGGGGTTCCGCTAGGAAAAGTATAATCAATTAGGGTTCCTTGGCAAAAAAAAATTGGGAAACCCTGGCTTCGCCTGCTAGCTTCGCCGCACATCTCCTTTCGTCTCCGCCCTGGTGGAAGCTAGGCCTAAGACTAAATAAATAAGCCGTGTGGTTCCGACAGAGTAGAACAGCCATAAGTTATTTAACTCTTTTTAATTGCACGAGTAAGTCATCGCATGTCCAAGTTTCATTTTACGCTTACGTTTGCAACTTACATCCCTGGGCTCAAGTTACTAACTTGCACTTCAATTCATTCAACCATTCTACCAAACACTACTCACTACCTATGTACCAAGTAAGGATTACAAACATTTTGTAACTTCTTCATGATAACAAAGTTCAAATTTTTTTTGTTCTTTAATTCTTTATAAATAACATTAGTACTCACATATTTTATTTATAACGCAAGGAAACCAAAATAACCAACATAGCGTGCAGAATTGCCAAACTTAGTGGGGAAGACAAATTCTCGAGTAGTGACCACGGACCGGAAGACGTAGTGTGGGCAGACTTCTCACTAGGTGGACCGACGATCTGGTGAAGGTCCCGGGAAGTACCTTAAAATGCGATCAGCGCAGGACCGTTCGTTGTGGAAATACTTGGGGGAGGCCTTTGTCCAGCAGTGATCGTTATTTGGCTAAATGAGGGCTTTCGTTTTCAACCGACTTCAAAAAAGGAGGAGGTTCTCAATTCGACCCGTATGTTTTTTTTTCTATGTTTGTTACGCGATAATTCCGCCAATTATGAACCGATTTGAACAAATTTTTTCGGCGTATAGGTAATACCTCAAGGGTGGTCCCATTTAAATTTAATAATAGAAAAAACAACCCCCAAGGGTGGAAAATTGGGGATGAACTTTTTTATACGAAATATCTCCGCCGATTATAAATTAATTTGAACGATTATTTTTTTGTTGAATAGGTATTATCAAAAGGGTGGTTTCATGCGAATTTGAAGAAAATATTTCACCCCCAAGGGTGGAAAATTGGGGATGAACTTTTTTATACGGAATATTTTTAATTTTTAGTTTTTTTTGTGTTCACGCATTTGAAGTCGGTTTAATTTTTTTTAAAAGTTAATTATTATACTTAACAGTTGGCACCCCTGGCGATTGACAGGACCTTACTCTACAGTGGCGCCATCTTGATAATCCTTCNAAAATCACTTTGATTTTTGGGTATTTCACGTTCTTTTAATTTGTGATTTCTTATTGTAAAATGCTTAAATCTAAAAATTTTCTCAGATAACTATTTGCCCAAGGATCTATGCTATAGGATATAAATGTTTGTTAAATCGTTTTCACAGTATTTTTATAAAAATTTCAGCTTGTAAACTGACGCTAAAGTGGAAATTTACAAAACCTGTGTGGACTTATCTTGATAGAATTCTTAAATGCTAAACTAATCGCAATATTTTCTCAATTAACTATTTAGACGACGAAATTGCCTAACTATTTATGCCTATAACATATTTGTAGTATTACTGGTTAATGATTGTAACGAGTTGAAAAAGTACTGTTTTTGCGCCAAACGGCGTAAACGCTCTTAACAACGAAACTGAAAAAAATTGTTGACCTCTGTTTTGTCGATAAAAATAGGTCTAGTTTAATCTATTTGGGTCATTCCATGAAAATCTGTATATTTTCGACGTCATTTTGTCCCAAACTTTTTTAAGATGCTTTTGAATACTTTATTAGTGTAAATTATAGTTTATTAATTAATTATGTTATGTCTAAAAGGGCCAGTCACTTTATGCTTTATTTTAGGAAAAATTATAATTTTCAATTTTTTCATACTACATTACTCCTATATGACTTTTAATAAGTATAAAACTTATAACCTTAACATTTATAGATAAGTTAATACACTTCATGTAGTTGTTTTGTTATTATCACTATATAAAAAACGTCATTTCCTAACTAGTAACTTAGTCCCTAGCACCGTTTAAAGCTAGGGCCTGACGGTCTAGGGACTGACGATTTGGAGTAAAACTTAACACAAATGCAGATTAACTTTATAATATAAGATGCTTAAAACGATGTGCCGAAAATAGCCGAAAAACCACACGTAAATACTATTAAATTATATACAATTTCCTATTGTAATCAATAAAGCTACTCAACTAGGGACTGACGAAGTGACTGAATCAACACATGTTTCTGCAACAACTGTCACGTTTGCACTAATTCAAAAAACGGTTGCCGCAAAGCCTGTATGGTCTGAGGATAACTTCGTATCGTACTTTAAACTCAACTAAATGTCATTCACTCTAAATACATATTAAAGCGCAAAATTATAAAATCTGTGCGTGGTGAGGGAATGACGCTAAAAACTGTGGACTCTTTTTCAACTAAAGAAAATCAAATTATTGTTTATTGAAACCGCTAAATATTAATAGAATTTGGTGTAATATACGTTTAAATAGATTATTCGTTAAGTAAAACAAAGGATCAAGTTGATGTTTCTATAAATATGGGTTCCAAAACACAAACTTTTGGAGTACGGACATGCCTAGGGAATGACGTTTTGGGTAATTTAAAAGGAATTTAAGATGTTTGAAAAATAGTTTAAGAAAATATAAATGGGTGATAAATAAAACACATTGCGAGCTGTATTTTAACAATTTTGGAATAAAATATTAACAAATATTCCATGTGAAATGTGGCGCGGACTAAGAGTTGACATATTTTTGTGGAATGACCCATTTTCATATGTACACTTTAACGTGACTCACACTGTATTACAAGTAATATTACTAGAAGTCGGCATATAGCTGAAGCAGGGGCCTAGCTACTAACTGCACAAGCTCAAGAGGCCCCCGAATCCTTACCAGAAAATCTCAATTGAACTGAACTTTGAAAATGTCTCCCATTTACAAAATAAATAGAGAGAAATTCGAAAGCTGTATCAGGAGTAAGTAAGTTTAATGTCAATAAATTTGATAAAACCTAACCAGTTTAGATTGCAGTGGGGCCCCATTTTTTTATTTGCGCCAGGGCCCTTGGTTACTTAGCTACGCCACTGAGCTAAAGAATTTCGTTGCGGGTCCAATGACAGTTTAGATTTTCGCCGCGGCCCCGGGACAAACTTGACCTTCACTGGTTGGGTTATTGGCGGTCAAGCTGTAGATCCTGGCTACACAGGAGTTGCAGCGGTGGGAACGAGAGGTGGGAATAGTCCCGAATATAGCTGAAGAGATAAATGTATTTTTGATTTTCTATTTTACAAAATAACTCCTAATCTCAAAACGATTCATTTCAAGCATAGATTGAGATAAGCCAATAATTGTTCATAAATTCTCTGATAGCCTATTCGGTACTTATCTGTCAGATAAGTATCTCTAAAGATGTATTTTATCTGACAGATAATTCAAGCAACTTTTATTTGTTATATGCCTCTCTTAACTATCACTAATCGCCAATACTTCACCTTCCTCACTTGTTTAATCTCTCCGCAGTTCTTCGACGAGCTATATCAAAACGACCACGAGATGCTCGCCAAGAAGATGGACGAGTGCTCCAAGCATCGCGGTAGGAACAACCCAGCGCGCCCCAAGACTCCTGAAGGTTTCTGGAACCCGCGTTGGTCTGTGCCCAGCGATACTGAGGAGTTTAATAGGAGGAACAACGCTGCGTGACCAACCCTAGTCAGTCGATTCCCTAGAAAAATTAATCAATCGCATAAAAAACACTCTTCACCGAAATCTGTCCTCAATAGCACCGCGACTGACCCCGGAATGACACGCCCCAAGACGGAACACGGAACCACGACGGGCTTCTGAAACCCGCGCTGGTCTGTGCCCAGCGTGACCAACCCTAAGACAATACTGTTATACATGGATAATCAATCCTCTAAAAATCACTAATCAAACCTGTCTGTGTACTTAGACATTTAATCAATCTTCTAGTAAAACTTTCCCAAACAAACTTGTTCTCAATAAGGAATAAGGTTTTATTTTAACAAAGGTGTCTAAAAGCTGCACTGCTCCATGTCATTCGAGGAGTTTACGCAGGAAACTGCTGCGTGACCAACCCTAGAAAAATCTGTTAATCCTCTATTGATCTATTCGTAAACAAACCTAAAGAAAAATTATTAAAACGCAATACGCGCCATATATGCTCAGAAGCAAAAAAGGACTGGATACTGAAGAAAGAGTTGAAATGGAAGAAAAATGCTGAATTATATTTTTAAACATTGGCACAAGTCTTATTCATAAGTTCTTTATTTCCCATCTAAACACGCTGGGCATTGACTTGTATCAGGCCTCCGTCACTCGCCTATGCCGGCCGAGATAATTACCTACAGCGCGCGACAACTTCAAGTTGCAAATCAATAAGGGCCGCCACGCGCCGTGACGCGCCTGTGAGCACACGCGTATTTCTATACACGTTCGGTGTATCATCGTCGCAATCAAGGTTTATTGTTCCAACTGCACTGTTATTCTTCTTTAATGGAAAATCGTAATATTTAGGAGTAATAATTAACTGTAGTGATTTAAATAATTATAAAAAACTACACTTTTAAAATAATTTTGAAATACTTATGACAAAAAACTGTAGCAAAAAAATTATTTTAGCTATTAATAAAAACATTAACTTTACTTCACCGTGTCNTTTTTTTTCATGACATAAGTGGTTTTGTGAGCAATCAAGAGAGATGTCATCTCAGATGGAGTCGTCGTCGTTTTCAGCCAAATGACGTCCACTGCTGGACAAAGGCCTCCCCCAAGGCTTTCCACAATGAACGGTCCTGCGCTGCGCAGATGGAGTAGTGTAGTACAAATTAGAATCACAGAAGTCTAGTAGTAAAATATTGATAAGGTCTGAATTCCTTTGACAAAATTGATTAATACACGTAATTTTAATTCTAATCTCATATTGCATATTTGAATTATGTTTTGGTCTCATTGAGTTACAACACTGTTGTATTATCAGTGCGATACTGTTTTTATACCCTAATTGCCTGCTTCTGGACAATCTAGTGTCATGTGCCGTATTATGTTTATTTTATAGAAAACTTCCCGTGGAGCCCGTATACAAAGAGCCAACTGTGAGGAAGAAAGCTGAAAAACGCGCCCTGCCCGGGTGGAGCTGTGATGAATGTAAAACGGTATGTATTGTGGCACAATGGACATTCATATAGTACAAGTAATATTACTAGAAGTCGGCATATAGCTGAAGAATTTCGTTGCGGGTCCAATGACAGTTTAAATTTTCCCCGCGGCCCCGGGACAAACTTGACCTTCACTGGTTGGGTTTTTGTTGGCGGTCAAGCTGTAGGTCCTGGCTACACAGGAGTTGCAGCGGTGGGAACGAGAGATGGGAATAGTCCTGAAGATAGCTGAAGAGATACCTAAATGTATTTTTTATTTTCTACAAACTAACTAAATCCTAATCTCAAAACGATTAATTTCAATTCAAGCATAGATTGAGACAGTTCATAAAGTCTCTGATAGCCTTATCTGTTAGATATCTGTAAATATGTATTTAATCTGACAGATAACTTTTATTTGTTAGATGCCTATCTAAACTAACAGTAACCGCCAATACTTCACCTTCCTCACTTGTTTAATCTCTCCGCAGTTCTTCGACGAGCTATACCAAAACGACCACGAGATGCTCGCCAAGAAGATGGACGAGTGCTCCAAGCACCGTGGTAGGAACAACCCCGCGCGCCCCAAGACTCCTGAAGGTTTCTGGAACCCGCGTTGGTCTGTGCCCAGCGATACTGAGGAGTTTAATAGGAGGAACAACGCTGCGTGACCAACCCTAGAAAAATCAGTAAACCCCTCGATAAATCAGTCAATCCCCTATAAAAATCAGTCGATCCCCTAGAAAAATCAGTCAATCTCATAGAAAAACTCCTCAACGAAATCTGTTCTCAATAGCACCGCGGACGGAACATCCCCGCGCGCCCAAAGACTCAGGCCTCTAAAACCCGCGCTAGTCTGTGCCCAGCCATACTGAGGAGTTTAACCGGAGGAACAACGCTGCGTGACCAACCCTAAGACAATACTGATCTACATGGATAAATAAACATTTTAATCAATCCTCTAAAAAATCAGTAATCAAACTTCTACACTCGCGAGCAAAAATATGGAATCACCCCATTTATTCCGAGCGATCATAAGAACTAAATGACTAATAGAAGTTCAATAAAAATGGTACCATTTTACAGGTGATATTATGAGCTTCAAACTGATACCATAGATACATACAATACGTAGTCATTCAGTTCTTAAGACCGCTCGGAACACAAAGGGGTGATTCCATACTTTTGCTCGTAAGTATAGTAAAACTTTCCCACACAAACTTGTTCTCAATAAGGAATAAGGTTTTATTTTAACAAAGGTATCTAAAAGCTGCACTGCTCCATGTCATTCGAGGAGTTTACGCAGGAAACTGCTGCGTGACCAACCCTAGAAAAATCTGTTAATCCTCTATTGATCTATTCGTAAATAAACCTAAAGAAAAATGATTAAAATGCAATACGCGCCTTATTTGCTCAGAAGCAAAAAAGGACTGAGTACTGAAGAAAGAGCTGAAATGGAAGAAAAATGCTGAAAAATTGGCACAAGTCTTATTCATAAGTTCTTTATTGCCCATTTAAAAAACGCTGGGCATTGACTTTGTATTTCAATACTCATCGCGCATTCGTCGATGACGTCACCTAACGGAACTAAACATTTTTATCTAAGGTAAACTTCTGTGATAAAACATTTTATGGAATATTGGGTGCCTTAATATTGTAATTAGTGTTATTTAATGTTAAATAATATGAAAATAAGCAAATATAATTTGGATTTTACTTAGTTGTTTTTTTAATCCTACCTTCCTTGATCATCGTCATAAGTTATCACATAATGAGTGATTAGATCACTGATTACCTTTTTTTTTTTTCAAGAAATAACACCTTAATTAATAGCTACCTACTTATTGTTTTGATTATCTACCTTCAGTTTGAGTCCAGAGCAGGTCATGCAAGTACCAAATGTCAATGTAACGTACATATTATGCCTACATACTCAATGCCTTTGCCCTTTGGTAGTCAATTCATTGCAAGTCACTTCTGTAAATGGAAAATGAGGTCGTTTGCTATCTAACTAGGCATACATCCCAATCTGTTCATGTTATTGCAATTGAAGCTAGTTAGTGGAAAATCTAAGGCATGTTTGTTTACTGCTTGTGAGTATTGTTTATTTATATGTAATCAGGNTAATCGGGTATACACACAAGTGACTTCAGATGTTGAGGTGATGACCCTAATAAAGCAGTATAAGCAAGCATGGGCCAATTAGGTCGACAGAAAATACTTTAGGTAGATACATACTCTTACTGAACATACTAAGTGGGTATACATAAAGAACCCATGTGAATCACGCGCCGCGCGCGGTGTTTGCCAAAGTTAAAACAGCATGACTTGGTTAGATTGAATGAGTGTGTGGGCGCAAGGTGAATCAATAACAACATTTTTGGAGAACACCTTTTATTTTTCTCAATAAAACAGAATATTATAATTTTTCACTAGCTTATGTTAAAAAAAGGAAATGTAAAATAATAGTGAAGAATTAGTATTACATCAAAATGTTGCAATCTTTGCAGAGTGGCTATGCGCGGTGACTACATCACCTGGATAATGTTAGTCTGTAACATTGTCACAGCAATTCCCCAATTTCTAAAATAGTTTTACAATTTTTTTGTCATAATATTTAGCATGTCACTATTCAGCTTACAACATTGTGGTTGGTACAAATAATGAAATTTTGCATTCATTCAAAAAATAGTTTCATTTACAATTATTTGAACTGAAAATTTACGGTTACTTTGATATACATATTTTTAATGCTACAACAAATTTACATGAGAGGGTCTATGACAGTTTCTTAGCTTTCTGGTACAGTGTATCGACAACCTTGCTCATGTGATGGATGGTTTCGAGGACAGTCTCATAAGTCTTCTCCAGGGGGGATTCATCAAACACTATTAGGACACCTTCTCCTTGATCCAAGATTCCGTTTAGTTTCTTGTCCAGTATCATTTGGGACAGCTTCTTTTCTACTTGTACTACTGGCAGACGGATGCAACGTGCGACATGGTCTACTTGCACTCGCATATAAGGCTCTACGATGCGACATAAATTCTGTTCCAACATCGTATCATATAAGGCACCCAAGTGGGCACGCACAACCGCATCTTCTTCTAGCTCCCTCTTGTAAGTCTTGAGTGCAGCCTGGAAGTCTGCGAGTGATCTCTTATGGGAAGCAGTAGCAACGGCCCGCATTGCTTCCAGCTCCTTCCCTGCATATTTGAGGGCCGCCTTGCTCCCACAGACCGTGCCCACTTCCTCAGCCTGATTCAACATGATTTTGGACAGCAACATGTACTTCAGGGCAGTCAGTGCTTTGGGACTGTCTGCACCATCATAACCTTCAAAAGCTTCATAGAAGTATGAGTAAGCAGTTTTGAAGTCGCGCTCATCGGCCGCGTGCAGTATGCCAGACTGCAGATCGAGCGCGGCTTGCATCTTGGGAGGACAGTAGATAGCATTGGCAGTGGTCCTGGCCGATGTTAACGATGCACGAGCCTTGGGTAAATTGCTAAGTGCATGATAGGTTTTGCTCTCTAAAAGAAGCACTTCAACTAATAAGTTCTTATCATCTAACTTCTTGAGCTCCTTGAGTAAAGCTGTGGCCAAATCCAGGGCCTCTGTATACATACCAGTGTCGAAATACAAAGCGATCAGTCTTGCTTCCAGAGACTGTCGCAGGAAGGTACGACGCTCCTCCTTCGCCCATTCTATACACTCTTTACACAGTTGGACTTCTATTCCGATGCCTGCTTCCAAATCCAGGAAGAAATCAACCAGTGAACGTACCAATTTCGCTGCTTTCGCTTTACTTATAAGGCTGAGGAATGGCCTGGTTGCTTTGATGAGTTCTGCTAGTTCCTTGGCTTTCCCTTCTTTCTTGTACTTCTCGCCTAGGTTCAGGATACCTTGTTCCTTTGCCCTTATGTTTTCTTCGTCATCTTCGGGCACCTCGCCAGTGCTAACCATTTTGTCGGTCATGCGGACGTCTTCGTCTCTGTTCGTCGACGAGACGCGTGATCTCTCGAATAACATAGCGCCGGCCATGATGTGTATATTTATATGCTTACACTAAAAAAAGTAGAGGTAAACAGTAAATCCACACTATAACAGCTACACTTTTCCTTTGTAATTTTGTCTAATCGCAAAGTCATCGACGTCCTCTTTCAGAAACAAATCGTAGACGCGGACAATGTTGCCATCTAAGAATTAAATATACTGCTATTTAGTATTAGTAGAATATTTTAAAATTTGTAGTAAAACTACCACTGATAGTTTACAAAAAAATATCAATGTTTTTTAGAAACTTATTTTAGTCACTAATTTTAAAATCTTTTAACGAAATTTTTATATTAATTTATTTAATTTTTATACGAAAATGGTAAGTTATTTTTATTCTTTTAGCATGAACTAGTTATTTAAGGAGGTTTACAAAAGATAAAAATAGGTAAACAAAACTATTTCCTAATAGCATAAAAGGAGTAAAAAGTAATAATTTGATAGAAGTTTCTTGCCAATTACCTATCTGTCAGTTGTTGCAGTAACATTTTATAATTTTTCTACACCAAATTTGCCTAAAAAAGATAAGAAAATTCATCAAAATGGAAAAAGAACAAGATGCAGCATACATATTTGAATTGAGTAAATCCATTAAGCATTTTTATGAAACTCCCGTTATATTTGTAACAAGGAAAGATTATTCCGACAATGTTTTTAATGCAATGTGTTCAATGCGAACAGCACTACAAAATAATTCTAAAAGTGAAATGATTGATATAATTGCTGATTTTCATTTACATTGGCTACATGCGGTCAATGATTTAGAAAATTTCAAAAAACGTATCCATGACTTAACTAGAGAAGAAATGTATCAGGCTATAAGTTATTCCATTGATGCTATTTCGTATCGGCTAAAGTATTACCAGAGATACATGGAGAAGAATCGATCGTCGCTATCTAATGCTGATCAAGCCAATTTAATTTCTGATATGGAAATAGTTGAAGATATGCATAAAGATGTGACTCATGCTTTATTAGATAAATTGCGATGTTTTAGAAATCTTGGGAGTGACGACGATTTTAAATTAAAAGTGAAAGAGAACGTTGAAGAACTACTTCAATGGCTAGATAAAATCAACGATGAACTAGCTATTAACTTAAGTAAATATATGCATGTTCATGTTCCTCATCTTAGATCAGATTTAACGAAAACTCTACAACAGATTGTTGATGAGTTACAAAAATCTCGTACTCCATCAGCGCAACTTTTATTGGATGAATTGAAGAAAAAAGGCAAGGAATTAAGCTCAATGATACGTGGCACAGCGGCTCATGGATTAGAAATCAGCAAAGTTGTAGAAAAAATTAGTGTTTTGGAAGATCGCATAGAACGTTTAGAACATGAACCAATGTCTGCAGCTGTTATGGCTTTGCAGCATAAAAAAGATTATTTAGAAAGAAGACTAGCATCGCTTGAGAATCTTAGAACGACTATAAAAAGTATTCATCAGTTGAGTGCTGTACCCTTAGATGATGTTTCTACAGATGATGTCTGTGTTTGTGAAGATTTCTACCAGTTCCGTATTTTTAACCACTTGTTACCAACTGAAGAGCGAGAACGTTTGGTAACTGAATTGTGCTACCTGTGGGACTTAGCAGTTTTTGGGGAGCGAAGTCACAAGTCTATTATTTCAATTCTAAGTGCCGCTGATATGAAAGAAGAATTCACTGATGAACTTGGAACCTACTATTTTGATGAGCATGGCAGGAAAATATACAAATTTCCTGAAGACGAAACTCTCTATCAACCAAATGAAATGAACGAACTCGTACCACTTTCTGACGACGCTGAACACATTTATTACTTTGACGAATGTGGGCGTTACTTTATAGATGTCAAAACTAGGCAACGTGTATACAAGGCGCATGCTACTGCCAGTGAGTATATGATGGATTCTACTGGTATATTATTAAAATCAAAAGAAGAACGTGATGGAACAACGTATTATTATGATAATTACGGACGTTATTACATAAATGAAGAAGGAAAACATATTTATCGAGAAACTGATGCAGTTAGTGAATATGAAAATGATGGACTGGGGAATCTTGTTAGAATTCGTAGTCATTTGGACATATTTCAGCCATGTCCTGATGATGCTCATGTAACTGAAGATTTTAGGTATTTGAAAAAAGTCGTTGGTCCTGCATTGCGCGAATGCATTGCTGACGTAATTTTACTACAACCTGCAGATCCTATAAAGTACCTATCAACGAGACTTATAAAATATAGAGAAAACTTAGAATTAAAAGATAAAAGAGCTACTGAGAAGGAAGAACTAAACATTGAAAGAGAAATCAGATTTGCTGAAGAGAGAGCAGCTGCTGAAAGAGCTGCCATGGAGGCCGCGTTGCTAGCTCAAGGTGGTAGTGAAGCCAGTTACGACTCTAATTTGATGAAGTACACTTCTATGCATCATGATGATGTAATGTCTGTAGGAGGTGCCAGTTCGAAATAATTTTAGATTTTTTTTACCAAGTAAATAAGAGAGTATTTTATTTGAGTCTCAGATTATTGAATTTTTACTTGGAAGGTATTTTTTAAGCAAGTCGCAAGGTTTAATTTTGTTTTTAATTTCTAAGCAGAGGTTAGTGAGACTGACCAAATGCATGAATTATGAGGAAGTGCTATCATGATAATTTTGTTTAATTAAGGTGAACGTTGTGTCCATGGTTTAATTTTTATGTTAATTAATGTTAGATTTCATAATAAATATAACCATTTGGAATCATTTTTGTTCTCATTCAAATATTTGAAACTTGAAACTTACAAATGATTCGATTTCTTTCAATGTTGAGAAAAAACACCATCCCTCTCATTAGTCGACAGTTGAATGTTCTCGAACCTCTCAAATTTGCGAAAAACTACTATAAGTTGTGAGATTTTTTAANAAATAAGACAGTATATTTGAGTCTCAGATTATTGAATTTTTACTTGGAAGGTATTTTTTAAGCAAGTTGCAAGGTTTAATTTTGTTTTTATTTTCTAAGCAGAGGTTAGTGAGACCATGAAGCTAAAGATAAAAATGGAGGCCAGACTTAGAATACCTACTTGAAGCACAACCTATGTATCACTATCTCGCTCTCTGTGGGCAGGCTCTCTCTTTCTAAGTAGGGTAACCTTTTATTTATTTTTCTCAGGACGACAACGACTGATTTACGTTTGAACAGTGTGTCTTGATATTTTTTGATATGGCAATATATTTTTTATCTGTTATTTTTGACAGCTGATGGTCAGCCATATTTGTAAAATTTTGACGAATTTCGTCGAGTGAACTCGTTCGAGTAATTTTGTTGTGGAATTCTTTCCGAAGCTTTACATTTATCAAAGCTATAACTTACTTCTACCGAAATCTAATAAAGTTACATGTTACTATATTATTTTATACTTAAGCTGACTTGGGAATGAGGTGTCTTCGATGAAAACAATTTCTAGTGCCTACGTATTTCCTACAATGATTAATCTTTTAGGGCAAGGTTCCTCGTTATTTTATGTAAATTAGTATGGATGGGAGTGACGTATCGAACAGTGTGTGTTGTCATCACGTGCTAGTGTGATCGCGGAGGCTTGCTGTGAGGGGTCGTGTGTCGTGATCGCTATTCGCCTAGAGAAGTCATTGGCATCGCTGCCTTCAATATCAGTTGTTTGTGACTGATGGGCATTTAGTGCAAGCGTGTGAGGTTTGTCGCAATGGCACCGAAGCCCCCGCCGCCGCCTGGTCCGCCTCCTCCGCCCGGGCCGCCTCCGCCGCCTATATTCGGGGGTTCGTCCAAAGGAGGCTCCTCTGACGACAGAAGTGCCTTGTTGAGTTCCATTAGACAGGGTGCGAGGTTGAAAAAGACTGTTACAGTGGACAAAAGTGGACCATACATACCTGGGAAGGTTTCAAATGTGGAAACTAAAAGTAGTGGCCCGGTTGGAAATGGAGTTAGAAGTGGACCCATGCAGAATGGTGGTGGGGCTCTCCCACTCGGAGGCCTGTTTGCTGGGGGCATGCCAAAACTGAGGTCTACTGGGAAACTGGGTGGTAAGCTGTGCTCTCTACTTTCTATTCTTTTCACTATTATCAGTAAATATTATAGATCAAAATGATGTAGCAATAATCAATCTCGCTACTAAGTTAAAAATTACATGAGAAATTCATTGTAATACTCATCATTAGTTCATCAATAATGGTGGGAATGTATGCAAAGATTACTGTTGATCTGAGAAAGTTTAAGAATTTTATGATGTTTTTTTGGAGACAAATATTTACAAGTGTACAAAATATTCAAGTTCTTGTAATTTCAAGTTATAAAATAAATTTGATAACTTGTTTTGAGTATGGTTATTCATTAATGTAATCAAAGAATGTTGTTTATGTTATCATCATTATATTGTACTGTGTGATATGATAATGATGATAACATTTGCCTACTTGATTACAAGTTGTCCATTACAACTAGATTTACCTCTGGAAATTTTGTTTATTTATGATCATGATGAATCCCCTGTATTGAAAGAATAACCTGGGCAATACCTAGTTTAAGCCATTCAATCATTTAATTTCAATTAAATTAATGATTTTCCAAATTAAAAAGTGCCCCTTATTAGTACAATGAAGGTTTTAAAACAATACCTACTTATTGGTATAGTTTATTTATATTTAGGAATAAATCTTTATTTTTTTAATAAAAGGAATTATCAATACTTACTGTAAAAAACACAAGAATCACTATTTTGTGTCAAGTACCTATACAGTTTTATTTTTAGATGATTTATTAAAACTAGACCCCAACTGATTACAATAAGTTCAAAAAGATTACATATTGCCCTACAAACAACAAAGTACTGGCCACTTCATCATAAAATCTGTACCTGAGTCAAACATCCCATAACGTCACATTTTAGGATCAACACAAAATGGTCAAGCGAAGATGGATGCGCCGCGGTTTCCACCGCCGCAGCAGCCAACGAAGTCATCCCCCGAGAGGAGTAGGCCGGCGATGCCCGCGCCGCCTGGAAGCGTCGGGGCGCTAACCGCGGCGCTTTCCGAAGCCCTAGCTGGACGGGAGCGAGGAGAATCCGTCAGGGATCACCACAGAGAGTCGCCTAGAGAGTCGCCCAGAGAGCCAGTTAGAGAGAGCCATAGAGAGCCGCCGAGGGAGCCCCCGCCGGCGCGGCCTGTCGTCAGGCGGCAGCCCAGCGATATCAGAGTGAGGGGACCACCTCCTCAACCCCCTGTGCAGAAACCGGCGATGCCATTGGTGAGTGTAATTTTTGCTTATGCATGATATTATTAAGAGTTAAATTATGTGTCCTCAGTGGCGAAAAAACGCAAGTTCATCGCCATAAACCAAAGAAGAAGAAGAAGAGTTAAAGAAGATTATCATGTAGGTCAGTGGTTCTTAACATTTAAGTCACGAGGGACCATTTTACCAAATTTCTGTCTTGTCAGGGACCACATATTTTTTTCAAAATCCTATAAAAGTGGAGGTCGATTTCTCGTCCACTGTGCGCCGTTTGCGTTGTGTTGACTCGACTCATCACATCACGTCACTTGTTTATTACGATGTCTTCGTGGACCACTTGGAATGCCTCCAGGGACTACCAGTGGTCCGCGGACCACCGGTTAAGAACCACTGATGTAGGTAGACAATACAGTAGTATAGCAGGCAACTTTTCGACGGATTTATTCACCTACATCAATAAATGCCGTTTGGCAGGTAGGTGTCTAATTGTCTATGCGGCTATGCAACGCCGACTGATAAAGATCGGAGCGATTTCTTATTAGGCAATTAATGTTATCAAGAATATCAAGCCTCGATAAAACAATTACGTCTCTATCACGCTAGGAATGTTTATTATGTATTCTCACTCTGACACCTGACACAAAAAATATGAATTGACCATCAGCTGTATTTACAATGGCACTATATCCGCCACTGTTGGGATCAGATTGCTAGCCCTTAGTGCGTTGGGATAAGAGTGTTGGATGTGCAAATGGATTCAACCGAGCGTGGCGCCGATCCATCTACTGCGTACACAAGAACAGGTGGACCGAACTCGATGTATCTGTGCTATATGACAATCTTCTATCAACTGACCCTGGTCATTAATTAACTAACTTAATTAGGCCAACGGCAACAAGAGCAAATCAATTACGTTTATTCGGTTCTTTAATAGATAGATATCACAGTGTGACAGACGCATCGTGATTTTACTATCTGAGAACTCACTGTCTGTAGATTTTTGCTTCCTTTAGGATCATCCCTATGGTAGGAGGAATATTTGAAGGGATTTTTCGAAGCTATTGCTAAAGGAGTGAAGTAAAAGTAGAAAGTTTTTGGAGACAATATTGGTACGGACAAAGACGCGGGCGTTCGCTAGTAATCAATATAACCGGCATAGTGTGTACTCTCCAGTAATATTTTCTTGTTTTTGTACCATTATAGCTGTGTTAACATTACGCTGTACTTGATTGCAAATTCCCGTTGCTATCATCAAATTACTTGGTTCAGTAACTGTGCTATGCATTACGATTGCGTACCTCGGACCTCGGTCACATTCTGATAGTCTAACTAAGCATTTATAAATAACTATTGACATAATACTTCCGTAGAAATAAAAGATGACTCCCACGAACAGTGGTAAAAGGTAAAAATATCCTTAGCGGGGATAAACGTCCACGTGCGCCTTCGCGGCATCTCTGTGGGTGGATATGGACCGTTTTGGTATCTTTAATTTAGATTAACCTTGCCCGATGTGTTGACTGAGAATAACTTAAACAAACTCGCATCGGTGCAGTGGATATCGCTTATTTCAACACAGATGCACTCGTTCGTAGTTGGTAAGCTGGGCAACGTGTTGCGAAAGCTGGTGGGTGGATGAGACCCGAATTTTATTGCCGTGTTATTCGGAAAAATACTGTAGGCTGATGTTGCGTTGGCAACATCGTTTTGTATATGTACATTACCGAGTAATCACGCCTTTCAATTGGAAATCTCACATTCTTATGCAGTACTATATTTTTGGCGAATTAAAAGGATGACTAATTTTTTTACGCTCTAAATATCAGACCCTGGTCAGAGAAATCAAATATAAAGGTAATATTGATTCTGGTCCTGTTGTTCCGATTACAAAGTGTGCTACAATCGGGAAATGCCTGATATCAGCCACTTATTAATTTATCTATTGTGTTAAAATGTTTTATCATTAGCTTTATCTACGACTTCAAATGTAGAACTAAATTACACCTTCAAATCTAAAAAAAATGAGTTTCTTTGTTCAAGATTACTCGTACACCTACGTATTTTCAGTTATATATGGTTTCTTACTAAGTTATAACTATCACATACTTATAATGAACTGCATAGATTGGAACGAATTGGTGATCAGCCGCAGCAAATATATGTATTTAAAAGTTCCTATTCTTAATTTTCTTTTTATCAAATCATTTCATGTACTTGTCTGTCGATATCTGCTATCCATTGCCATGTCAAGTGTTTATCTGATAATATTATCCGCTGGGCTGTAGCGAGAATCTCTATCAGTTAATAATTGTTTTGGGTGTATTTTTTGCGATCTATTTTGTTGCATTTTCGTTATTGTAACAATCTAACAATGGACGACGAGGAAATACAGTTTAGAAGATATTATTTTAGGGTGAGTTGCGTTTCACTGATATTTTACATTTAAACTCAGTTCTTCTCATGTGACAATAATAATATAAATTACTGATCTACATTATCACTTGCAAGTTAGGTGTTTTCCAGCACCACCAAAAGATGGCGTTGTCTGTACACGAAATCGCGAATAAGAAATCGTTACGCCCGTATCATGAGATCTTTTACCGAAATTATGTAAACTTATGGGAATCAATAGGGTGCAAATGGTGCAGTATAGCATTATGTTTGGTTTGAAGCAAAACTGAAGGTTTTCTGTTAGGTATATGCCATTTAGTGTTATCTCTTATCTAACGAACTAAATGAGTCATTGCGCTATCTCACACTTTTCACACTAAACATTGTCCTGTAATCTATCCAATGATACATCTATTCAACAGTCTTGTAGAATACAATACAACAATTTGCAGATTGGTTTGACTATTATTATCATTTCTGCCTTCTTATGCGCGCAGATATGCATTCATTCATTCAGCTGATGTTGCCATATATCATATTATTTTATTGCGGATACAACGAATTTGCATTGTGCGACTGACAATGTATTATATTTACCTACGGTTGGGTTTACCGCCGCGTAACCCACAGGATATCACGGGAATTGACGCACGCACGACGTATTGTCCTCGAGGCATTATTAATCTTCTATGAATAATCGTTTCTATTCTTTACTTATTCTCATTAATTATTATACGTGATTCATTTATCAAGAAGGAAACCATAAATTATTAGCCATTTACTAAGTAAGAACTAATCTGGAAAGTTGGGTATTAAAATATGTTTGCACTGAATGGAGGTAATTAGACTTACAAAAGGTCTATTATATAAAACCTTTGGAAATGTAAATGTATAGATTTGTATAATCTCTATCTAGCTTAATAGCTAAATAAAACAGTCAAGCAAATAAAAAATACAAAAATCTTTACTATTATTAACCGACTAAACGTTAGCTAATCCAGTTTCAGTAAATAGGTCTATCTATACAGGGTGGAAACGATAAGTGATCTCATTCGATTAATTCTAAACTATACAAGATATCGAAAAACTGATTACTAATCCTGAAAGTACTTCAAAAGCTCTATCCAACGGTACCAATATTAGGTTACAGAATTAACTGGAACTATCCGAAAATTCAATGTCTCCAGCTTCCATACTAAATGTATGCCAACGACACAATATTAGAAATGTAATTTATTTTTTGTTAAATAATAAACTTAAAAAGTCGTTTAAATAAACTCGTAACTTTCATCTTATTTAAAACTATTTGTGGAAAACATTAGTTTTAGGCTTTACTTGCTATAAATTATCAAGAGATGAGTGCCATGACTGTGATAGTACTAAATGTATGGAAGACTGAAACATTGAATTTTAGGATAGATCCAGTTTATTCTGTAACAACATATTGATACCGTTAGATAGAGCTCGTGAAGCACTTTTAGGATCAATAACCAGATTTACGATATCTTGTGTAGTTTTTAATATTATGTAACTTTACGAAATGTATGAACGCTGGAAATATTGAATTTTCGGATAGTTCCAGTTTATTCTGAAACCTATTATTGGTACCGTTTGAAAGAACTCGTGAAGCACTTTCAGGATCAGTAACCAGTTTTTCGAAATCTTGTATAGTTTAGAAATAATCGAGTGAGATCAGTTATCGTTTCCACCCTGTATAGGTCAAAATCGTAGGCCATCCTTGTGCAGCCTAGAGCTACATATTGGTTGTAATAGCAGATGGTACAAAACTCTTTGGCACCCGGTTGGTTTTGGCACGCGCCGCGTCATTTGCACATTGATTACTTTACAGGACGTGCTCGTTTGACCCCATTTTACTGTGTAGCAGTCAGATATCATCAACCAGACAGATATCAGCAATTCAGCATAGAATTGGGCAAAAACATTGTTTTTATTTAAATGTACCTGCCAATGGGCTACTACGTTATGTGAGTAAAGTTACAGTTACCATTTGGGCTATATTAACCCTTAACTGGTATCGTGGGGGCCGCGCGGCCCCCACGCATGACGTTTTCTTTGATTTCTAAGAAGCTACGCATCGTGGGCAGCCAAAATTTTTGGTATTCTCATTTCGGCGCTACTCGCGTCTGGTGCAGGCGTTTCAGCACTGTATCATTCACCAGGACGAAGATATGCACGTGTTGGGGTCCGCGCGGCCCCCACAATACCAGTTACGTTAGTTTTTTTTTCATGGCAATTTTTATTTGATTTTGTTTTTTTGCAGTATTGATGGCTTATTAGTGATAAAACAATAGAAGATACCTAGAACGAAGTTTTTTTTCCAAATTAGTGATTAGTAGCATGTCAGAAGAATGATATAGTGATAATAAAATTATAGGTAATTGTGAAGACCCAATAACCAATATTCGGTCAATAATGAGGATACTGCTTCTGATTTTCTAGTTTTTTCTTCAGAGAGTGAAAATGAAGATGTTGTAGGACCTAGTCAATCCAGCTACTATGAAAAAATAAGTACAAGTGGTCTGGAAATCCACCAGCACCTGCTGATGTTTGTCAACATAATATTTATGTTTTTATTTGTATAAAATGCTTATTATTTTTATTAA